TTTCACAGTAGTCAATAAGAGTAAATAGAAAGGTAAAAATCCAATCGAATTTACAGAGCGAGGAACTCTTTAAACCTCTTACTTTTACTGCTCCTTAGGCAATTACAAAAGACACTCGTGGTTAGAGCTGGCTACATAACGAGATAATACAACTTAAACGTGGCCACGTAGAGAAAGATAGAGAGAGAAAACAGTCAGTGCAGGTCTGAGGAACGCTTAATGGTGAGCTCGGCTCTGAGATGGAGAATGCCATTGATGAAATGCTGACTGTCATCAGCGATGAACGAAGTCCACGGAATCCCGAAAAGATTTCTGTAACCAACTGCTTTCCCCCCTGTGAATGTGTAGTTTCCTTTGTATTTGCTTACGTATTCTTCGGATGATTTTTTATCTCTTGCCGCGAATTCGTAGTCCACACCAAAACTCACAGCTCCTTTTTCTTGCATCCCGAGGAATAGCCCAAAGCAGTGGAACGAGCTTTGCTGGTCCATGTTGCAGTGTGCCGAGAGAAAGAACCCTTGACCTCCTAAGTGGAAGGCCTGAGAATAGACTCTTCCCGAAAGGAACAATCCTGCGCATTCCTCTCGCTTCAAGTCCAGGTACACTACACATTGCGGCCGAGGAAGCTCAAACTCCACCACTTTTACGGGTCTGTATTTGTAAGCCCTCTCTATGAAACGACGATTCAAGGAGCCTGATCCTTCAGCTGCGAGGATGCGTTGCCTGTGTGGAGCTTCTGCTTTGAAGAAGAGCGCTTCTAATACTTGCTTTGATGCTACTTCATGCTCAAAATCGCTACACGTTAGTACCTTTTTCAGCTTTCGACACGTCATGTACGGGAATCGGATGTAGAGCGCAAGGCGTGAACCCAGAATTTCTCTACGGTCTTCCAGTGAACTGTACTGTCCCCTTGCCCATTTCAAGACAAAATCATAAACAGCATCCTCAGAAGCAATTTGGAGATCATCGCTCGACAGTATCGCCTCAATCCCAGCCAATGGTAAGGCCATAACCTCATCATGAAATCTGCACAAGATGGTAACACATGAATACAAGAATTATACAACACTCGAGTAAATGCATTTCAAACCAGTGGAGAGTCTTACTTGGTAATATCCTTGTAGCGGGAGGCAAGGAACTGCTTTGCTGCATCGGTTAGAGGTTGGACTGCTTCAGCCATTAAAACACTAGAGGGAAGCTCGAGATAGAGCAAAGCGGAATCAGGGGTCATGGGCATATTGCGCAGTAGTCTACTACAATACCTCATGCAGGAAGCAACCTCAAACTTGTCAGCAGCCATAAGCACATCTAATAAAGCAGGTGCCGTTGTGACACTAAGAGAGTTGCTATACATAAAGTTTAAAAGCTCCATCAAAGCACCTTCCTCTGCCATACACATAAAAGCATAGCATGAGAAATCAACATTGTGGACTCTCTTAAAGCTAATATCATTTCACGGATACAAGATATCATATATGCAAATCATAGCCAGCAACTTGAGTTAATACAAAAGGAATAAAGAATCAAAAACAATAGAAGCCAACAGAGAGCTAGTAGAGAATTGATGCCAACAAGACGAGATTGACAATAGCAGAAATGAAGCAAAAGCTTGACTTGAACTGCCGTACCTTGTGCACTAATTCTAAGGGTTACATGTCTTTGTTCTGATTCCCTCATTCCATTAGAAAACAACTACAACAGGGTAAGGAAAACAAGAAGCAAAAGATAGCATGCGAGATAAACAAGAGCAAACGATAATAATATAGAAGAAGAAAAAAGCGTTAATACCTTGTAGAAAAAGGGGCTTTTAGCAGCCAAGATAGGAGAACTAATATGCAGTTCTTTAACTCTAACAACAGTAGAACAATCAATACCCCAATTTGGCTCGCTAGATGCATCATCATCACCTAAAAAAAACAATTATAAACAAAGCTATAACAACAAAAAGCTATTCTGAAGATTAAAGAGTATCACAAATCCAAATCCAAACCCAATCACACGAGGAAAAACTGAGAGATATAGAAAGCAACAAGTGCTCAAAGTACCTGATAAAGCCTCTTCCACCATTGCCTCTCCTTCATCGTCAAGATTATCACCTCCAGGACCATCATCCATATCAGGTTGGTTGTTATCGGTTAAAATCTGTTCTTCAGCACATGCCACAATGTCTGAAATCGCAACTGGAAATGCAAAACATATAAGTTCCTTAAACATTTAAAAAGCCCTAAACCAAGCATAAGAACAATTCTTAAAAACCAACAAAATCTGAGATTCCAATCGATCAAATCATTATTCTAAAAGAGGAATCAAACGTACCACCATTGTCCCTCTTGTTGTCCTCTCTTCTCCTCTTGCGATGACGAGCCCAATCGGCAATACTCGTACATCCTTCACCATCAGACCTAGAATCCGAAGGCCCACCCAAGATCTCGATCCGGAGCAAACGATCGGAGAAGTTACTGTCATTGAAAGCGAAACCAAAATCACCTTCGGAGGAAGAACCATGGCGAGAGAAATTGGAATCCATATCCGTCTTAGGGTCAAATAGATCGGTGTTATTGGAACCTCTCATCCTCCTTTTCGAAAACCCTCTTCTCCGTCTTCTCTCCGGCGAGAACCGAGCAGAAGAATCAGGAAAACTATAAGGGTCAAAAATTCGAAAAGGTTTTTTGAGGAACGAAAATAACAAAGAAACCCTAAAAAAGTCTCTCTCTTTTTTTTTTTTGAACTCAGAAAAAAAGGACAAGACGTTGAACGGTTATGATAACAGGGCGGTGACGGATAAATTAATGAGAGGCTAATTAAAGACAAAGAGGTTCGTTAGTGCCTAACTAATTAATTAACCGGTTCGGTCTTTTGAATTTTGGTTCTTTTCCGGTATTATGCATAAATGGCGTTGGTACAATTTTAAATTTTGACTTATCAGATTCGATTTTTAATTTAAAATAATTTTCAGAAATAAGTTTAGTATTTTGGGGGAGATTTAAAATTTACTTGATTATAAGAAGAAAAAGTGTTTTTTTTTTTTTATGTTGCTGTGGTAAGAGGCAAAATTAGGATTGTAATTGGTTGGAAAGCGTCAAATTTGGTAAGAAGACAACTCGTTCAACAAACGGCAATGCCTTATGTCGTTAAAATATTCGTTGGAAACTTGGAATCAAAAGTCTGATTTGGAGTTTTCTTTGAATATAATAAAATAAAACTAGTTCAACGTTTTACAGACTTTGTTAATTAGATTTTGACCGAGTGAAACTTGGTAATGCAATGATAACTTGACAAAAAAATTGGACTAATTTATAAATTGAAATCCGGCCGGTATACACTTCTTCTTAGACCAACACATGACAAACCAGTTGACTATATATGGTGTCACTAGAGATGATTCATTTGTAGTGATACGACTTAACCTATCGACTACAAGCAAACCAGCTATTATTTGTTGAAACCATCCATGATATATTTTCTCAAACCAAACAATAGTGTACTTATTTCAGATCTGATCGAACTTGAACTTAACTTTATTATTGTTCTTGTAAATAACTAAGAAAATAACCAAGATCAATTTTAATGAATTTTTTCTTTTTAAGGTGAAATGTCCCCTTTGACTAAGATGAGATAATATTGCTAGATTAAAGAATAACAAAATAAATAATTAAATGTCGGTTGACTGAAAAAAAGAAGGGAGAAGTCCGTTTAAGCATAAACAGGCAACACTTGTGACTAATCTACCAAATCAAACGTATTTTAAAAATTTAGACCAAACTTGACCATTATTCACCAAAAATTGTAAAAGCATAAAAATTAACAACAATTACAGGACTTAGTGGAACTACGTAGAGTTATAAAAAAACAACAAACAAGATACATTTATATATATAGTCAGTTTTAATCTATATTATTCATATCATATTTTCAAATTGGCCCACGAACATCATCTTCATCTCGCACACGAACATCATCTTCATCTCGCATTAAACAACATTGATATCGCTTCGATGCAAGGATCAACCCCAAACACCTGCAAATAAATATGGTCCATCTTGATTAGCAAACCAAGAACTCAATCTTCAAAAATATATAATTTTGGTGAATTATGTAATTAGAAAACTATATTAATTCAGTCAGTGTGCATATATAAGACTCTAAGTCAAGAAGAAAAGAAGAAAAGGAGCTCCCTTCAATCCAAACGAAGAGAAGAGAAGGATGTATAGAGAGAGAGAGAGAGAGAGAGATAATCTAAGAGGTCATGCAGTCCCCTTAAAGTGTGCTTTCTTCAAGATGTTAACCTACGCACTCTCTATGAGGAATCCATGAACTCTTAGATTTTGCTTTTTAGTTCCTCAAATCTTGTCCTCCTCGTTTTGGAGGAAGGGAGCTCCTTCTGTTACACTTGAAAAACAAGTGTCCAAAAGGAGTTTTAACATCTTTTTACTTTAAAACGAACCAAGAAACTATTAAGAGAGTTACACAGATATGTATGGTGATGGATTGATGAGGCTTATGAATTATGAGGATGTGAAGAAAGAACATTGTTGTGTTTAAGTGGTTTTATAGATGAAAGAGCATAAATAAACCCTAGTCTACTCCTAGGGAGACGATTATGGAACAAGTGTTAATAAAAATGGAAAAATATAGAAAAAAAATGGCACTAAATCTTACTGTCATTAATTAGAGATTTAACATAATCTTGTTGACTAGATTCTCTTTTAGAGAGAGATACGGTTAGGGTCCTTTAGTAATTCTCGTAATTATGGAGTATTTGCAATTTCATTGCATTAAGACTATAGAGATAATTGGTTAGATTGAGTTTGGTCAATCGCTATTACCGACACACCTTTGACTTGTCTTTTTTTTTTTTTTTTAACCTTTATTAATCACCAATCAGTATACTTAAAGCGTGTTGTGAAATTTTAGATGACTAAAGATTTGAACTGATCGGTTTAATTGTCTCCCCTTTACGTTAGATTTGATTTCTTCTTAATTACAAATGCCAAAAATAGTTGACCGGAGTTGTGTTCAATGTCAATGTATGTGAACTGTTGACAAAATTAGTTTTTTTTTTTTTTTTTGTGTCACGGGGACAAATGAAATATTTAAGTGTTTAGCGTAGTTTTTCTAACGAGCATTAATATTAACCACAACCAAATAATTACTCCAACATGAGACACGAGTTATCAAATTGGTTCATGCTTGAGCCGGATCACTCTGGTTTCAAAGAAGAACGTAAACGTCGACTCTCGACACGAGCTTCCATCAGCTTATCCTTGAGAGTACGATGATTATCCTCTCTGATCATCACATTCACATTTCTCGGAAGAATCTTCGAGAAAGTTCTAGACTTTTCTTGACTCTCATGATCATCAACGTTCCTTGGACTACTCTCTGGATGAATCTTATCTCCTTCCGAAGACATAGATAGATTAAAAACTTGGCATGAGCTCTTCTTCTTAAGCTGCAATTTGTTATCTCTTCTTGTTCGCTTTTCAAGCCCTTCTTCGAGTTCCTTCAAGCAAACCCTTTGATGCATAGAAACCGAATCATCTCGTTTTGCTCTCAAGCCACTTCCTTTACTTGACTGTGATGTACTCTTCTCCTTAGCTCGCAAAAATGTTTTATCATCTTCCTCTAGCTTCATTTGTAATCTCTGGTCATTCCACACTTCTGCAATCTGCACAATTACTTTATCACTCACTGGTGACTTATTCCCAATTCTTCTCGCCTTATCTTCATAATCTTTAACCGCTTTTGCAAACTCATCGCAGAGATTTTCAACAACAACACGTTCTTGTCTCTCCTTTTCAAGATCTTTCAAAGCTTTTGACAAACAATGCTTCGCTTCACAAAGCTCTCGTGTTAGCTTCCGGTGCAAAGTCTCTGACTGCTTTCTGACTTTTCTCTCATCATCTAACTCCCTCTTTATAGATCGAAACACATCTTTTACCTCTTCTTCTTCTTTATTCTTCCTCAGTCGCCTATCGCTTTGCTTCTCCCGTTGCTGTACCTCCTTAATCTCGGCTCTACATTCATCCAACTCCATCTTTAGAGCTCTAACCAAAGACATATTAGCAGTATTCTGTTCTTCGAGACTCCATATCCGGTTTAGCACCTTGAGAAGCTTTGATGAGGAACCCAAACCATAGCTCGCAGACTTAACCGCAGAAGAACCTGTCTGACTAAACGCTGGCTTACGCACCACAACCTACAAGTACATTAAGCCAACACACACCAAATCCAGCTCAAAAAACAAGATTGTTAAAAAGCATTTCCTTGGTTACATTTAGAGTGAACAAAGAGCAAAAGACAGTTTCTCACCTCCAATGAACTACTGCTGCAACTTGCAGGAGAGATTGGTCGCAACAGATCACCATTTCTATGATCATCAGTTGCTGCAATTTGCCTCCTAAAGCTACCTCTACTTGGTGGCTGCAAATTAAAACTAACTATGACATTTTTTTCCCACAAAACGTTCAAATTCTAAACACACTTAAAATCAAGGGCTCTGGTAGACCCATCATAAAGATCACAACTTTACGACCATGAGATTTGTCCAGTGAAATTTGTGCATAGTCCAGATTTCCTAAAGACCCATCATAAAGAACAACACTTTGAGATATTCTCGGTGGAATTTGCGCAAAAATGAGAATTTTCCGGTGGAATAAAGATCACAACTTTACGACCTACCAAATCAAGAAGACTAAAACCCTACATAAACCCGTCAAAAACATTCAAGCAAATCAAAAACGCCAAAATTGTTTACCTGATGATCGTGAAGCGGACTACGGGAAGGTGGTTCAACATCTGAATCCCTTCGTCGACAATGTCGCAGCTCAATTCTTTGCCGGAATTGTTCAGTTTCCCACAAATCAGCACACAATTTCCGGACAGAAACCTCTGAATTCGCCAAAAACTCCTTCGTCTCGACGACGGCGGAGGAAGCTCCGACTCGCGGCGGCGAAAACTCGAGCCGCCACGTGGGTGGAGGAGTAGAAGGACCAGCTCTTCTACTATAGCCCATGAAACTTCGTCTCAGTTTTGTCTCCATTTCTTCTTCTTCACATTGTCTTTCCATTTATCTTACTCGCTCTGTTTTCCTGTTTCTGCCTCTGTTTCTGTCTCTCAAACCATTTAGCTTTGGAAGGTTGTTTTCTTATTCAGTCGATTTTTTAAGGCTGTTGGGATCTTTCTGTTGTCTCTTGTAGCTGGAGACAGTTCTGTCTGGACTCGACTCTGGAGTCGTCTCTCTCTCTGTTTCTATCTTCTTTTCCTTAAAAATTCTCAGATCAGTATTAATGGCTTGTCCTTTGTCCATCTTTATCATTTATACAAAAAAAAATTAAAAAACCAAAACGGGGTTTGTTGTTAAGTATGATTGTAATTCATACTAAAACTATTTGCTTTTTTTATAATAATAATAGTATAATGTTACAACATCAAAAGCCTGTTGCTCTCTCCCGACAAAGATTACGAGTTCACTCTTGACTTTTTCTTCTTCCCAACAAAGCCATAGATTTTTATTTACTGCAAGGGGAAATATATCTCTCAATAGTCAGAGTCAGAGGATGCGTGTGAGTAACCTTTTTCACCTTTTACTATTTTCTTTTCTTCGTAACCTTTTTTTCTCCTATAAACATTTTGCGTATATCTGGATCAAAATAGTTACACAAGTTAAAATACGCTACGTTATAGTAGCGCAGTAAAAAAGTCCGGTTGGTCTCAATTATAGTACTAGTCAACTAGTCATTGTGACAGTAATGAATAGAAATGTCAAATGACAGTATCTTAGTGTATATAATTTGTGGTTTAGATCATGAAATGCATTTCTAAGATAAGAAAGAGAAGAGTTATCTCTTGATGGATGTACAAGTGGGTGAATGATAACCCCTTGGATTAGTTAATTATGCTAGTAAATTTGGGGATTGAGAGTAGGCTAATAGAGTCATTATGAGGTTAAATGGGTGGAATAAACGATTAAAATATGAATCATTCGTAGCAGAGAATAACCATGCTTGAAGATATTCCCGGTCCTTTAATGCTATAGTCTAGAACTCCAAGGCTTATTATGACCAATACTGACACCATTTCCTTTTTTTCAACCATAGATTAGGTGAGAATGAGATTATATCATTACTTATTATTTCTCATGCACATGTTAATCTTTGAGAATTTTAGTTGTTGTAATGAGAAAGCACATAAGAGATTATGGAGATGAGTGTAAATGGCGTTGGGACGTGAAACGGGACCACAGGAGATGAATATTTGGCGGCTAATAGACAACCTAACGTGACGATGAGAAAGAAGAAAACGAAGAGTGAGTTATGGCATGAAAAGGATGGACTATGTCCGCACGAACCACACACTCATTCTCTTTCTCCCAAAATAAATTAAAAGGGAAAATTTCAATGTAATAAAAGTAATACATGAAATTTACTATGGGTTCTTGTGGTCCCCACCTTTGGTAATGATGTGTGTGGATGATGATGAACTTCACGTAGAGCAATTTAAAAAAAAAATGAACTATAGTTGCCAAACTTTTTTTGCTATGAACATTTGAAATAAACATTTTTTTGGTAAGAACATTTGAAATAAACTTAAAATTAAAAACGTTTGAAATAACTTAATAAATTAAAAAAACATTTGAAATAACTAATGGGTTGATCATTGTATGGGCCTAAAATATATTGGGCCTAACAGAGCGAAAGGATCGTTTAAGGAGGTTATCAATGAACTGGGTCGAAGAAAACAGAGAGGCAAATAATTTGGATTCTTGTTAGACAATTTTTGAATTCCCGTTTTCTATACTTGGATAGGATGGAGATGGATACAATATATGAGGAATTGAGACATATCAATGTTTCTGGGTGTTACAGTACGGCATCGGTCGGGCTTGCGGACATTGGTTTGCTTGCACGACGTCTGATCTGTGTCTTCTTCTTATGTGACAGTTTCTTCTCAAGGCTTTTGACCCGACTGGTTAATTTCGATATGACTTCTAGTTGTTCTCGGCCTGCCTTAACCAACGTCTCCATCGTTTCCTTGAATCGCTGGTTCTCCTCCATCAGCTTTTTGGTTTCTTTTGATATCTCAGGTTCAGTGATTTCTGGTTCCGGAGGCTGTTCGTTCAAAATAACTTCTGGCTCTAGAGGCTGTTCTTTCACAATGACTTTTGTCTCTGGAGACTGTTCTTTTTCATCTTGTGGCTCAGAAGTTTCTTGGCCAATGCCTTTGGAGTTATCGGGCGAGTGGTCAACTTCAATTTCCTCATGGCTCACTGTTTTAGGGTCCATTGCAGTCATCTTCCCTTCACAAATATATGATGATGATGAATCTTGTGAAAGAGGCTCTGTTTCCTCATCAATTACTCCAACAGGTAGCTCTGAGAGCTCGACATCTTTCTCTGGATGCGATACAGTATCATCTTCTCCTTTTCGGTCTTCATTCTCTGATGCGTTCGCCTCTGCTTCAAAGACTTCACTAGCATTTTCTGGCTCCCGTGTAGAGTTTGTTTCAGTCTCTTCCACCACTTGCGGTAATCCGTTTATTGGCTCCTCCAAACTTTCCACCAGGGCTTTGTTTTCCTCGACATTGGTCACTGTCTTACCATTTCCATCAGCTGACGGTGAACTACATGGAACAACAGTCTCAACCTCTCCAATTTTCTCTGGAATGGTTGTCGAGGAAGCAGCCGCTGCATTTTCAGTAGCTTGCTCGGAATCCGTTGCCAAGGTTTCAAACAATCCAGATCCCTTTTCTGCTTCAGCAGCCGGTTCAGCCTGTTTTTCATCTGTTCTACTCAAGACGCTCATAGGATGTTCCTCGGGAGACAGGAGAAGAACCTTCTCTAGATTCGAGTCAGATACCATTTTGTTCTCTTCTGCGAGCTGGGAGTGCTCCAAGTTCACTGGAGAGTCACTAGGCTGAGATTTAATTTCCACTTGTTCCTTTACGGCCTCTTTCTTGGCACTGGCGCAGCTATTTTTCAAGGAGTCAAGCTTGTCTTGAATGTCTGAGAGCTCTCTGGCCAAAGATTTCCTGAAGTCTCTTATACTAGGATGCAAGCCCTGCAAGATGAACATAAGTATAGGAAACTGTCAGCAAAAATCTTACACAACAGTACATACTGAGATAAACTATCACGGCCAACCAATGAAACTAGTCTTTCATGCATCACCTCGACAGCATCCAATTTTATTAGAAGGTTCATCACCATTTCTCCATTAACTATAATCTCCTTCTCTTCAATGTGCTGATCATTAAAAACTTCTAACGCCTCAATACGCCTTTTAACATCGCCCATCTGCTCACGGATAGTGGCTATCTCCTTCAATTTCTTAATTGGCTCCCATCTTCTCACGTCATATCCGCGGTACATAGATTGGATAATTCTAGCAGCTTCCTCTTCTGTAAAGGTCTTCTTTGCAGGCAGTTCTCTATTATCCTTAGCTTCACAAGGTTTAACAATCTCACAGTTTGATACTTCTTGGAGATTAGAATTGCTCTCAACTGATTCTTTTTCTGCTCCTAATGCGTTTAGGCTTCCCTCAGCCATCTTCTTTTCTTTGTTTGCCTCTTCACATTTTACATTACAAGCCTCAGAAACAGTCGTTGATTCAGCCTTCTTGGAGCGCAGTGGGGACGCGATCTTAGTCTCCTTAGATTCTTCCATCTGTTTAGGATGATTTACTGATTTGGAACCACCATTTCTCTTCTTCGGCAACGGGTCAACACGCAGACAAACCGGAGGTAACTTGGATGCTTTCGATGATGACGAAGACTGCTCTTTTGTTGTGTCCTTAACTGACTCATTCTTTGCAAACCTTTTGGTCCGCTCCGTTGGTTTAGGCAGATGATTTTCTGATAGTTTCACGGGAATATTTCTCGGTTCCTGTAGATGGTTCTTTACTGGAATATTTCTTACAGAACTCTTCTCATCCGCATCTGAGAGAACATTGCACTCAAAGTTCCTTTCTTTGCCTTCCTTTTGGATTTTCTGACCTTCATTAACGTGGGGATCAGAGGAGCAAGACTCCAAGTTACGCCCTTCATTACTACTCTTCTTACTCTCAGAAGCTTCAACATCTTCCCGTTTCTCATAAGATGGTATCCAAAAAATAGGATACGGAACCTGTCCAGGCTCTTCTTTGTTCTTCTGGTTCTGCGCTTCCTTCACATCTTGACCCTGCAATAAGGATTTTAACTTGCTGATATCAAATGGGTACTCCACAGTTTTCCCATTCTGCATCGTTTTCCTGTCTTCCTTACTACTCTCAGAAGCTTCAACATCATCCCGTTTCCCACGAGATGGAGTCCAAGAAGTAGGATACGTAAGCTGTCCCGACTCTTCCTTGTTCTTCTGGATTTGCGCTTCCTTCATGTCTTGACCTTGCAATAAGGATTTCAACTTGCTGATATCAAATGGGAGTTCGACGGTTTTCCCAGTCTGGGCCTTCTTCCTGTCTTGATTCTGTACCAATGACTTCATGGTGCTCTCGTCGAATGGAAAACAGCCATGCCAAGACTGAGGAAAACTTTTCTGTATCGTCATATTCTCAGGAGCTTTAACCTCAACAGAAGGCTGGTTATGGTTCCCTGACCCAAAAGAGCTTCCATGTTCCTGATTCCTAGCATTCTCATGAGGAATCCATATAATTGGGTAAGGGCAGTTAGTAGAACGAACCGGAAGTACAGCTTCTCCTTGTTTTCCTTTCTCAGTTTCGGGCTCATGCTCTTCAATCACAACGCCTCTGCCACTCTTCGGGTTACATATCTGGGGAGAACATTTTGCACAGTGATGCTTCCCAGGCACATCCTTGTCAGCATCATACCAAGGTTGATAACCAACTGGAAATGGTGGATGAACATAACAAGGAGGAGCGTAAGACGCGTGAGGAGGATGGAACCCAGCATGATTCATGCAGCATTGATGGTACGGTACTTGTGGTTGTGGCGGGTAAAAAGGAGGCCAGTAAGCGTTGTATGCAGGAAAGCTACCGTGAACGCAGCTTCCATGACACGATGGTGGAGCATCCATTGTCATATGCTGAGAGTTATTCCCAAAACCTTGATGATAGTATCCTTGTGGTCTCATTTGACATGGTTGTGATGGGTCCGTGTACACAGGCATCATCTTTGATCAACTTCAATTAACCAAATTCCAGTACAACTGCAGCAAATACCCAATTGGTAAATTATTAGAATGAGAATTTGGATAGTTCAGAATTTATTTGATTCCCAAAAGACACTAACGAACTGCTTCCGATGAAATCACCAAATCAACAAGATCTATCTACCTAATTGACTGACTGACACTAAATCAATCGCATCTTCAGAAAACTAAGAGCAATGTGAACTCAGGATTCTGAAAGCTATTCATTAAACTAAGAATCAGAAGGGAAAGTGACGGAGCTTACACGAAACAGAATCGATCCGCCAATTCCGATGACTCAGTTCCTGCGAAGCTCTCAACTCTCTCCACCAAACAAAAAACGCAGATTTCTTCTTTGATTTACTTTCTGATTCAGATGATTGCAGCTTTTTTCTATGGGTAGTGAAATATCCAAAGACATTTCTTGATTTATAGAAAGACGAAGAACATTTAGAGGGAAAAGATATTTCTTCTGCTCTCCAGATCATTCTCGCATCAACCACTCTGAAAAATCTGGAATTTTCTCTTCGTTTCTTAAGGCTAAGCCTAAATAACACGTGATTTTAGAAAACTCGCTTCGCTTCTAAATCAATATGGGCCATATAAATTAGGCCCATTAGGCCTATATATATGTTATTATTGGGCTTATACTTAGGCCGTATACTGAGGGTTTAAGTATGTAAAATCGAGTTCAGCCTCCGTCTCTGATACAATTCGAAAACCTCTCTGCCTCCGCCGATTCTGACCTTGCATCACCCATTCAGCTTTCCAGTCTCTCTGCGTCGTTCTAGGGTTTTTATTAGTATTTTTTTCGAAGATGGGAAGGGCAAAGAAAGCTCAAAAGTTTGCTGTCATCAAGAAGATTATTAGCCACAAAGCTTTGAAGCAGTGAGTTATCGAACGATTCTTCTTCTTTAAAATTTTTGATCCTTTTTGAGAGGTTCTTAATGTTACTTTGTTTTCTTTTCTTCAGTTACAAGGAAGAGGTATTGAATCCAAACAAGAAGGACCTCACAGAACTTCCGAGAAACGTGTAAGCTAACACCTTTTTTGCTCTAGTTGCCAAGTTGTAATTATTGGGTATCCTTCAAAATCTGATTTTTATTTGTTTTTGGGATCAGTCCGAGTGTTCCTGCAGGGCTTTTCTTTTCTTACAACTCTACATTGGTTCCTCCTTACCGTGTTTTGGTGGATACTAACTTCATCAACTTCTCTATCCAGAATAAGGTCGGTACATCTTCAATTTCAATTCTCTAATACAGAGCTGTGATCAGAGTCTGTATGATAAAAGGATCCATCTTTGTAGAGTTTATAGTCTTCGTGAACCTGATTGGAATCTCATTGTGGTTCTATTTGATATCCTTTTTGACATATTTTGCTCTGGGGTATCTAATAGATCGATCTTGAGAAGGGAATGAGAGACTGTCTGTACGCAAATTGTGAGTTACTTAAACTTTGATTGGTCTATAGCTATGCAGTATTCTCTCTCTTGTTAACCTTTAATTGTTTCTGGTTTGAAGGCACTCCTTGTATCACGGATTGTGTCATGGCTGAGTTAGAGAAGTTAGGTCAGAAGTATCGCGTAGCTCTAAGGTAAAGCTTTTTAACTTCTTGAAGAAGGGGTTTTCAGTAGAATTGTATCATGGATTCGTAATTGGTTACTATATTTGGTAGGATTGCGAAAGATCCGCGTTTTGAAAGACTACCTTGTGTACACAAAGGAACATATGCTGATGACTGTCTCGTTGACAGAGTTACTCAGGTATGAATTCACCAAGGAACTTTGTATTTAAGACTCTGTATTTTAAGGAGGTACCAATGCTCTAGTCTGATGGTTCTTGCCTCTTGGTGTATGTGTTTTGTATGTGTCACATTCTATCTTTTGTATGTGTCTGTGACATTCTTTCTTGTAATTTATAGCATAAGTGCTTCATAGTGGCTACATGTGATAGAGATTTAAAGCGAAAGGTAAAGATAGTCTGCTGTATCAATTGTTTTGCTTATATCCATGGCTGAAATCTTTAGATATTATTAACTTTTTACGTTTGTTCGTTTGTTCGTTTGTTCGTTTGCAGATTCCTGGTGTGCCAATCATGTATGTGACGCGACGCAAGTACTCAATAGAGAAGTTGCCTGAAGCTACACTTGGTGGAGGTATGAATCCTTCGGCTGAGACATCTGAATCTACTGGTACTCGAGTATTAGACTATGTGAATTAGCTTTTGTAACCTTTGGCTGGTTTTTTTTTTTGGTGCAGCACCAAGATACTGATAATTGAATAGAGACCTTACGGATTCCATGAAGCCCTGAAGCCTCAAGCCTGAGTTGGTCTTGGTTTAAGATCTGAATTAAAATGACTTGGAAAGGCTGTGTAATGAGATCTTAAGCCATTTTTGTTCTCTGGGTTGGCTAATTTGTTGTTAATTTGATACAAGGTTAATTGACAACTTAATAGATATCTTTATTATGTTTTTACAAACTTTGAAAAAACACATTCTTAATCTATTACACAGTTTTGTTAATGACAGACCAAAATCATGTCTTGTTGGACTTCGTACGTTGATGTGATGTGGTGATTAAGATAATTACATTAAAATCAACCTATTATTATTATTAAGATAAAAGAAACGTGGTATGACATTGACATTCCTTCTCAGTACAAAGAGTTGGTGTTTTCACGAGACGTAGCCGGCTTTGAGCTTTGGAGCTTTCTGTTTGACGAAGAACGCAGAAAGCACACTCTTTGTCCGGACAGGAGCTTGAATGATCTCTCGTCGCGGATTATTGTCAAGTGACCTGTGTGCAGTCAGAAGTTTGGGAACCTCCAAATCCTGTAAAACCACAAACTTGTCTCATCTAATTATCTAAACCATGATTACATCTATACAGCTTACTAATCCATCGAATTTTTCTACATGAACTACAAGATTCATGCGAGAATTGTTTCATGTATTCTCAAAAGTTTTACCTTATGGGCAACACCGTAGGTTTGCTTTGTGACAGTGGATGTAGCAGGAACACCTGAGACCTGAGAACCAGCCAAAGGCTTCTTGTTTACTACGTTTTCTTCATCACCTGCATGAGTTTTTATGTATATCATCAATCTCTTGGCATAAGTTGTATTAGAAGAAATGCTATGTTTGATTTTTCTTCGACTCCATGTTTCTCGTACCTAAGAGATGGAACACTCCAGATGTCTTTGTGAAAGCTTTTGAATCTTTGGAGCTGCACAGTAAATTTGTATTAGTTGTCTAGTTATAAAGAACGTGAGAAACAGTAGTAAAGCTTTAGCGGGCTCACTTTGGTGCAACCGTGGATGTTCCTTTGAGGGTAGACTTGGTCTCTGAGCCTAAATGCCAGGAGAGTGATTTCGATGCAGGGGCATCTAAGTGAGTCAAACCAAGGCATTACTCAAAACTGTTTGATATATTAACTAATAAACTCAAAGATGAGGACATTGCACCTGAAGGTTGAAGACGGGATATAGCTTGGTAATGATTCTGTCTTGTGTCAGTTCGTCTGAGAGGACTAAAGTGTACCCGCTTGTTCACAGAATCTAAGAACAGTCAGAGAAAAAAGAATTCAGATCTCACTAGTAAACTAACAAAGAATCTTACTTAACAAGGGCCAAGAAAAACTCTTACTGGGAAGAATGTAATGCTTGTGATGCAAAGGGATAACTGCTAATAGCTGTTGCTGTCTAAGACCTTCTTTGTCGATATAAGTCCGGCATGTAAGCAGTTGCTGACGAAAAGAACATACACAAATCTTAAAGGAGGTTGCCTAGAAAAGGTAAGACCAATAAATAGAGAAGTGTGTGAGAGTTTTGTTACCTGGCTAACACAAGAAGCTCTCAACTCCATAGTTGATATGTCTGAATTTTGCTGATCAAAAAGATCAGTAAGCTTGGAAGCTACAGTTCCAAGGTGATCAACAGCATTAACTAGAGCCTTTACAGTGTAGTCTTTCAAATTGTCCAATACCCTAAACAGAAAGGTAATAATGTAAAGAGAAGAAATGTCATTCAAAGCTACTAGTAGAGTTAAATTAAGAGGTTACTAACATTTGCTTTTGCTCGCTATGAAGATAAGACTTTTCACAGTAATCAGCAGCTGAATAAAGTTGAGGCCTCAAGTTCTTGAGCTCCTGTTACATAAAAGTAAAGTGTACAATTAAATAACATTGTAAGCCAAAACAAACAAAAACAAATCACAAGATTCTTGAGTCGTCTCCAGGTAGCTATAACTCAGCAACACAAGCTAAAAAAAAAACAAATCCTAAAGGAAGCTATAAGTCAAAGCATTGTCTTAATAATCCCAAGAGAGCCAGATTGAAATCTTGAAGACATTAACACACTAACCGACAATCATCATCTTGGTCCCATCAATAAACTTAATCCACAAAATTTACAGCCAACAAGACTTAGTTTTTACCATGGACTCAAACGTGTATATAGCCTACAACGAGATCATGGATCTGGCTCAACTAAACCCAAGTTATTGTGATCATAGCTGTTAATTTCTACAGAATCTAACTGATCAGAACCAAAAAAAAAAATGTAGACAAGGAGGAACTAGTAAAAGAGAGAGAGAGAGAGAGAGATAATAAGGAACCTGCAATGCCTTAACGAAGCTCTTGCTGCGTTCCATGGAAACCTCGTCGAAGGTCATTGCTGGATTATCCATTCCCGATATCTCCGTTTCCATTTAGCGATCAGAGTGTGTTGAAATTACGGCTCTGTATACGAGAGATTAGTGTAACAATCAATGTTTGTTCGGATTTGTGAGGTAAGGCTAGCTTTCTGGTGAGACGGCTAAGCTAACTTGACAGAGAAAGAGAGAGAGAGAGAGGACGAAGGTCAGAGTGAAGTAGAAGCGATTCCAAATCCAAAGGACTCTAAATGCCATTCATTTTTGCTTTCAGAGTTTTTATAAAAGTATATACAAGAAAACGACTTCGTGAAAGACGCACTATGTTTTTTTTTTTTTAAATTCTTTTATACAAGTTATTATGAACACATTAAAAAAATATATTAATTAATGGTTTGATCATATCTTAATGCAGTCTCTCCAATTATACCAAACTAAAAATTGGCTTTGTTGTGAATTATTTTTGTCATACAATAAGATGCCTCTGAATTACACAATTAATACAGCATAATTTGAAGGGACATTAAATTAATATTTTTGTCGAGTATACATTAAAAATACTCCCTAGATAGTTAAAAAAAATCACATGTCTTGTATTTGCTGCTTTAATTGCGGTTGTTGTAACACATTAAATTATTTATGTGTTTGTGGTTAGATTCTATGCAAGCATTTAAAGGAAACGGAGGTGGAACTAGGGGAACGAAATGGCGAAAATACCCTTGAAAAAAGACCGGTCAACGAGACTGGATTTTTTAATTGACTTCGGCAAGTTGCATGAAAAGTAACGCTGGCGGGACACGTCAGCTTTAAGCCAGCATCATTCACATGAGATCCACACGAGCGGAATAGCTGTCAAAACGGACCTGCACGTGCTAAGGCCCATGGTCCATTATGGTTTTACTGGGCAAAAATCATCGGCCCCAACTTTAGTCTTCTAAATCATTTTTGGCTTTTTGCCATCTGCTTTCAATGATTCTCTGTTCAGGTGAATTAAAAACACTGGCGAAAATGACCAAACAAGTTTTTTTTGGTTTGTGCCAATGTTTTCTTCATGTTTATATAATTCGAATTTATATTTAGAAATATATGCGTTTGATTGAAGATTAAAATTATGGATATACAGTAAAACTTCTATAAGGGGGTGTTATTGGTTTGTGATTTAAATAGAGTTTTGATGACTTTAATAAAATCATAGAAAATGAATAAGTGAATGATTTAGAAGAATTGTTAGAGAGTTTTCTATAGTCTTGTTGATTAGTTTTTCTATAATCTTGTAGAGTCTCCCAAACAATCTCAATATTTCAACATACTTTTTATGACTTTATTTTGTAAAGAAAAGTGTTTAAAATCATAAACCAATAACACAATAATTGAATTCATTAACAATCATAGATTGTCATAGATTGTTTTGTTTTAGTTGAATAACACAAAACTTTTAATGACTTTATAAAACTCTTAATCTAATAACACAATATTCATTAAGATTTTAAATGACTTTTTACAAATCACAAACTAATAACACCAAACTTTAAGAGAGTTTAACAAAATCTTGATTGAATAACAACAGATTCTACACAACAATTAAAGTCATTAAAACTCTATTTAAATCACAAACCAATAACACCCCTAAATTACCGAGAAAATCTATTACATATGTAGGCTTTTCTTAAATATACGCATGAAAGGGTTAAATGTATTCATGTTATTGGGTTTATTTATATCGTGTCTTCTTCATCTATATACACACCACTCTATCTATAACCACACGAAATACTGGATTATACACAACACTATGATGATGAATCAATCTCCGAACTCAAAGTAGGTGGGCTTGGGAGTCGAAGGGCAGCTAATGGCTTCAACAAGCTCTTGAACAGTGAGCATTTGAAACTTTGGAGGCGAATTAATGGCGATGTTATCGACTTTATGTTCATAAATCTTCCCACTCTTATCGAATTTATACTCAGAAGCACCATCGAATCGACCACGAGTCTCCCAAGGACCACGAGGAATTCCATGAACAGTCCATCGTATCATCAGAGTGTTCTCTGTAGGTTGCCAAACACTAACAATGTCAACACAGAGTGCTCTGAAGAAGATCCTTCCATGGAAACGTAAGGCCCATAATATGGATTTGTAGTTATCAATCCCCATGAAAGTGTTCACAGGGTCTCTGAAAACAATATCATCTCTGCGAAATCAGACAACAGAAAGAGCTAATTAAGAAGTGATCATTCTCTAAGAAATCTAACCAAGAACAGATTAAGCAATATACCCTGTAAGCTAATTAAAAGGAAACCAATTTGACAAAAAGCTAATCAAGAACAGATCAAATTTGGGATATAAGCATGAAAGATAATCAGAGAGCGGTTCAATCAAAATCGAGAAACTTCAAACCTGTAAATGTCAAAATTGGGCTCTTTGTAGAACAACAAAGGAAACTCTTCTCTGATACTACGAACGGCGTGACCCATATTCACGTAGTAACTCTGCTTATCTTCTTCTTCGTCTCTGCTAATCTTGCAGTCTTCTTTCACCGGAGCTGAGAATCTCCCGTACAATCTCGATTTCTGATTCTTAACACCAGACAAATCTCTTGCGTCAATCGCTGAAACCGTAACCTTCCTCCTCATAAACGCATGACTAATAACACTCGAATTCGAATCGGAGAAGATTCTCGCCGAGACAGTGGGAATTTCCGGCGAACGAACAAGGAATGCCATCGGAGAATGGAAAAAACCGGGAAGGAGATTGAAGATTTAAACTAGAGCAAACATGAAAACGAGAAGGAATATGCTGGCTTTGTGGATTGAGAGAGAAGACGAGAAGGTTGCGACGCGAGGATAGGTCAGGAAAATTCTCTAAGGATAATCTTTCAGTCCGCATGGATAACGATTCTTTGACTTGTCATCTTCAACGACAAAGACTATTGAAAGTTCTCTAATAATTATCACAAATTTGAAATTATATGACGGTCCATTTATGGTTAGGGCTTCAGGTACCAAAGAAAAGCCCATTATGAGAATTGAACAGATTATAAATTGTTAATTACAAAAATAATTATAGGAAAACCCACTTATCTTTAGATAATTAAATGAAACGATTTCATAGAGGCCCAACTAGTTTATCGAGGGAGGTCCAAGTCTAAGCAATTTGATACAAGAAGCAAACAAAATTAATGAAGCAAAGTTACACAACGTTTTATAAGCAAATAAGACTTTTTATTTTCTTTTCTCTTTTGTCAAAAAACTCCGAATTAATTTGGCAAATGCTTTCATTAATGTTCTTGAGTGTCCCATTTGTTGTATAAAGCATGAACCCTTGAAGATACAACTTTACATTGACGTGAACTCAAACAATTTGGTTCTAAAGCTCCGTCTTTCCGGTGGAGTACTTTGTCATGTTTATTAGACCTGCACGATCCGTCTTATACGTAGAACAAGTAAGCATGTGTGGCAAATCAGTGATATGAAAATTATAAACTCAGCAGAAAAAAATATATATTATGTATTTTTGATCATGGTAGAGTTACACCTAAAACAGATTCAAACTAATTAAGAAGTAGTCCACAAACGAAACACCAACAAATTAAAACGATCTGTTGAAATCAAGATTTTTTAGCCATGAGTATTTACAGCTTCCCAAAGCAAGTTCTTCAACACAGGATTAGTCGCATCTCTAGCTTGAATCGCCGCATTCTTCAAAGTCCTTATCGTCCACACATTAGCCTCCCACCACGAAAGACTCCTATAAGGAAGATTATGCTTCTTACAAAGCTCCTTAACCACCGGAGATACTGTCCGGAGATGACAACGAGGAAGCCGAGGAAATAAATGATGCTCTAACTGAAACTGCAATCCACCAAAGAACCAATCCATATACGATCTACACGATATATCAAGCGTACCGGCGGTTTGTTTCTCGAACCAATCGTTTCCGTTAGGTGGACCGGTATAAACATCTGCTGCGAAATGGTTTAAACAGAACTGAACGTGTTGAATCGCAGTGACGGCGAAGCTAACGAAGACGAAGATGAATCTCTCTGACCAATTTGGAAGAAACGAGACTAAGAGCGGGAACCATGTCCAGAAAACTAAAATTCCGGCGATGTTTAAGGCTCGATCTGGGACGTGGCGTTTCGAGAATAGCAATAGGAATGTTTGGATGAAGAGATTGATTCTTCCGACGCACATTACTGGGTAAAATGTCCAGTGTTGGTAGCTGATTAAGAATCGAGCTAGGGGATCGAATGTTAATTTCCTGCCATAGAAACGTGACGTCATCGAATTGAAGAATTTGGTTGAGACGGCGAAGATCGGGATGTGTTGTAGATCTGGATCGTGATCAAGGCTGTTACAAGCCATGTGGTGAGCGTTGTGCGTCCATTTCCACCACGCGATTGAGATTCCGGTGAGACAGTTACCGGAGAGAAGCTGGATTAGTTTATTACACGGTTTGGTTGATGTCACCGTGTAGTGACCGGAATCGTGGCCGACGTAAGCGCTCTGGATCCAGAGGAGACCGAGTAAGACGGCGGAGATGAGGTGAGCCCAGACGCTGGTACACGCCAAAACGCCGTAGAGAACCGCCGCGAGCATTACACCGACGCACGTGAGCGTGTAGAGAGTCACGTGACCTTTTTTGTCGAAGAGGCCGCGTTTGGAGAACTCGGCGGCTAATCGGCGGAAATCACGTGACACGTCAGACACGTGGAAGTCTCTCACGTGATAGCCATTGTGAAGCTTTTCGAGGTGGTGCCATGCGGTTCCGGGATGGTAAGCGATGAACGCGTCGGTGACGTCTTGGCCGGCGAGATTGAGAATCGCTGCTTCGCCTCCGGGATGAGATTTAACCCAATCGGAAACGTCGCAAACTTTACCTTGAATCGAAATCCATAAATCTCCAGGTTTGTTGTGTTTTTTCAAATCCTCGCTTGTAACGTATCTCTTCTTCGTTTGATCCGCCATTGTTGAACAAGAGAAAGAGAGATTTAATTGCTAGATCCAAAATCAAGAAAATTTACAGAACCAAATTGAGAAAGGTTGCAAATGCAAAACCTTTCTCTCTATGGATTCGTAACTCACAGATTTTGAATCGATTCTACGCCTTTTCTTCTTTATATTTGTATTTTTTTTGTTTGTTTACTGTTTTGGAATCGATGTTCGAGTCTTTGACACATGTTTTATTTTTAGAACCGATTTAAATGGTTAAGCAGTGAAAAATCCACTGGTTTTAATTACCTTTTGATCCGTTACGTTAAGTCTATTAATGGAATTGTTGATTACACAAAAACTCCATTAACAAGGTTGTCTTTACATGTATCATTAGTTTGTGTGGGTCTGTCAATTTCTTTTAGTGGCTGACTAAGACAAAAAACACAAACAGATCATATCATCTCATAAACAGATGTCTTTGTCTCCTCCATTCCCCAATTTTGGAAATTGAAATTGCTGGAGAACAGGAGAAGCAACGACGGAGACGATTCCGGTGTCAAAGATTGCTGACACATACAAAGTCATGGACTCTATTCACAATCTCTCTATTTTATGGGGGAGTTTTCATGACTTTTTTTATGAAGAAAATTATATAAAATCCTAAACCAATAACATAATATTTTAATTTATCAACAATCCAAGATTCTTTTGTTTTAATTGAATAACACAAAACTTTTAATGACTCTATAAAACTCTTAATCCAATAACACTAGATTTATAAAGATTTTAGATTACTTTTTATAAATCTCAAACCAATAACACCAAATTGTAATAGAGTTTTTAAAAGTCTTGATTGAATAACAACATATTCTACATAACTTTTAAACTCATTAAAAGTCTTTCTAAATCTCAAACCAATAACACCCCCTAAGAGTATCCTCAAAATCAACGTCAAAGTCGTCAATAACAGAGAATAAAATCACAAAAGCAGAAAAAAGTGGTAACGTACGTTTTAGTTCTTAACTTTGAAAATTTGTCTTAGCAGATTTTTGTCGATTCAGTGAACTTAGGCGGATTCAAAACTTCTGAATGGGCTTATATTTTAAAATGGGCCTAAAAGTATCAATTTAAAAGCCCAATTATTTCATAAGCATCTTCTCTACCTCGCGCGCTCTTCGTTATGCTTTTGCCGGCGTCGGATCTCGCCGATGTCTCCTCCGTAGAAATTATTTTAAATGTAAGTCTCAATCTCACGATTATCAATTTGCACCTTCGTAATGATTTATCATCTATTAGCTACCTTCTAATTCATTTTTATCTTCGTTGCTCTCACATTAGGTTGTGGAGCTTTAGGGTTTTCTGGTAAGAGACTCTGCGAGATGAATCCGGCGAATTTTCAGCCTCCAAATCCTCCGTTCCACTGGGCTCCGATGTTACCTCCGGACCCGCCTCGTTGTGGTATGTTTTGGACTCCAAAGAACATAACTGATCAGCTCAAACAACTCCAAGATACGCTTAACCTGGCTAAATCAGTGTAAGGCCACATGAAATTTTATTTTTGTGTTAATGAATCGATTGAGTATCGGAGTTTCGATTTTAGGGTATAGATATAGATAGTGAATTACAATCTAGTTCACTGTTGGTGAATTCTTATAAGTTGGGGTATATGTAGGGAGAAGGAACTGGAAGCATTGAAGATGATCAAATATGCTAAAGGTTCAGCGGAAATTGTAGAACAAGGTTCAGGAGTAGAGTGTTTGAGATATCTAGAAGCTATGAAGATGGATTTGGGACAGCAGGAGATGCTTTCAGTGGAAGCTGCTAACTCCTTGATGTCTACCTTGAGATCACAGCTTGAGCCTTTTAGGTTTGTTGTTGATGAGAATAGTCCATGGGAAGAGAAATCTGCAGCAATAAGATTGACTTGCAAAATGAAGAAATCGAAAAGGAACAAACTGTGGAAGAAGCGAAAGAGACGGTGTGTTGCTGAGATGCGTGCTAAGGTGGATTTGTATGCTCTATTTATCTTATATTGCACTAGTTGAGTTCTTAACTCTATCATCCTGTTTAAATGGTTTCAGGAGCCTGAAAGATTTGAACAAGCTGATCGAGAGGCCGATGAATGGAGGGAAAAAGAAATGGCCAAGGACATGGCAAATAGAAAGGTAATATTACTGGTGTGGAATTCATAAGCGGTAAAGCAATAATATATGTTCCTCCTTTCGGTATCTAACGGGGTCTATCTGTTTCAGGTCGACGAGATGAAGGCTATTGAGAAGATCAAGGCGAAACGAGAGCGAAGGAGACTAGAACCCGAGGTGAGACTTCTAAAGCCATCTCAGACATTATAATGTGTAATTCCTTTTTGAGTATTTATTTCCGGTTCGCTTTTCTCAAACAATCTCTTGGTTTCAATATTTCAGCTTGAACTAGCCCTAATTGTTGAGGAAATGCAAGAGTTACGTTCCATAAGAATTGAAAAACTAAAGAAGCAAGGTATGTCAATAATCTGAAGTAGTTCAATGCGTTCTGATACCAGAGTCTGTCTAAAGTAAATGGGTTATATGGACACTATGCAGGGCATTTCCTTCCTGAAGAAGATGACAAGTTTTTCGAAAGTGTTCGAGCTGCGGTGGAGCAAGAGGAAACCCAAGCTCAGTCCCTAATCAACACAGAGACCGAAGAGAATGTCATTGCCTCTGAGGAGGACACTACTCTCACTGCCAGTAACAAAACCAACAAAGACACAGATAAAGATAGCAATAATATTGCAGCTTCTTGTGAAAAGACAATGAAAGCTCCTAAAAATGGTTGCGACAATATATCGAATTTACCAGTCGAGTTCTATCACTACTACTACGGAAGCAATTTCGACATGGGTAAACTTATTGAGGTGTGTTTTTATTTGAAATCCCCATCACTTTTATCTCTTATTTAAAGAAGTTATTCAGCTGGTTTATCGTTTAAAAATACAGATCAGAAGAGAATGGGATGCATATCTGAGTCCCGGAGGAAGGTAAGTTATCAAAGTAATATTTCATAGTTTAGACAAGATTTTGATGTTTGGCTCTTAAGAAAAGGTGTTGATTTTTATATAACAGCCGGATTCCTGGTCACTGGGTCCAGCCGTCGCCACCAGCTAATGAGATTTGGGCTTCTTGTCTTCTTAATACTTCCAAGAGAGATCTTAGTTAGTAGCTGTTGGGAATTTAGGATACAGGTTTCAGCCAGCACCACTCAAGATCATGTGATTTGGTCATTTGTCTCTGTTTTGAAACAGAAACAGTTCACAAAGTGATTAATAATTATAAACAGAACACTACTTGAGCAATATCTTAGTAGTCCTCACTTGCAATGTCATTCTTACAGGGATTAACCTAATCATGTTTCCCCATATGGCCATATGTTGAAGTTCACATTTTAAATACGTCATTTGTCACCAGAATTTCCACCAATATAATTTCAATGTGTTTTTGAATCATGTTAATTTTCGATTTAGACCATCTGGTAAGTAATCCATTGTAGAACATCAAAAACGTCTGATAACGTTTTTTTTTTTTTTTTTGCCTTATAGATTTAGCTGTCCCGTCGATTTAGTTAAGCCATTTTTTTGTTCAGATTAATAAAATGTGGGGAAGATGATTGTTAAGCTATTCAATTGACGATGAATCACAACTGCCCATCTGCCCCAAATTGATATTGCAAAGAATTCTTTCGTGAAAAGTGCATTTAAACGCACTTAGCCGATACACACACATCTTTGCTTTTCATTGTTTTCAACAGTTCCCAGTAATTGATCGATTAACCATACATAAACTTCCTCGTTTCATTGATAAGCGTTAACATTATTAACTCAGTTATTCCCGTCGATGTGAGTAATAATGAAATTGTTACAGATCTCGTGAAAGAATTAAATAAAAAGAATTGTGGGGAAGATGATTGTTGAGCTATTCAATTAACAATGAATCACAACTGCCCATCTGCCCCAAATTGATTTCGCAGAGAAATCTTTCGTACAAAGCGCATTAGATGGCACTAAGCCGATACACACAATCTCTGCTTTTTTAACAAAAGCAACAAAGAAATTTCATATCAAACAAGTATACACCAAAAACACAAGACAATCCACAAGAAGATAGATCATCAAAGAGCTCTTGGAGACTCAATCTACGAAGGTTAAATAAATTGTTAGAGAAGCCTCATTTCATGAGTTTACTCGCTTCCCTGCTGGGTCCTTCGCTTTTCTTCTATTTCACATTTTAATACCAACAGAATCTAATCGAAAACTAAATCCATAAGGGATGAAAAACCGAAATCTGGAATTGAAACCATAGATCTCGGATAAATCCACCAATCTCCGATTTGAATTTCCGAAGGTAAACTTGGCTTGAATACGCATTGATTAAAGCGTTTCACCCATAGGTCCTTCGTTACGTAATTTCTAAATATGCGATAACGAATTCGATGCTCAGCGAATACGAACCATAATAAAATCGGACATCAACTCGTGAGACGAGATTCGCCCCACGATCTGTTATATTTTCCGATATTAACTCTTCATCGCATCACTCGATACAGATAAAAACCAACACGATAATCAAAGATAAAAAATACAAGACGAATTTGAAAGCTAAGTAAAATCGCAGTAAAGGCGAGGAAGAAGATGAGCTATAAACCCTAGATTGAGAGCAATGTATGTTGAAGTAACTTTAGATAAGTTTACTTTATATAGGGCATGTATTATTAGGGTTAATGCGACGTATCATAGCCGTTAGAATTATAAATCAACGGATGTGGATTCGGCCCATCTTTTTGTGAGTGAGGCCTATATTGGGCCTTTAATTATTAACCTGTATTATTAACCTGAGTGAGTTAATACTTTAATAGAACCACCGATGACCCGACCCGTCCGATAAGTTGACCCACCAACTGAAATCATGAAATCATGAAAATCATTTGCTTTTTTCGTTTTTTTGGTAGAAGCTAAATCCAACTTTTTGGACATAGGCTTTGTTTTTTTGTGTGTATATGTTTGTGTGTTTGATATTATGCAACCTTAAATATTGCAACTAGTGTAAATCTTGAAAAAAGTTCTTATTTGATGTGTGTTCTAATTCAAATTTGTATGTGAGAGATATACCATAAGCCAAATTCTTGGTGGTTTATACAATGAAAGATGTCACTAATACATGTTGATATCGATTTTCTGGTTGTACAATGTACATAGGTCATGGAGAATTCACAATCGATTTTGAACATTTTCAAGAACTCGGAAGTTTTACTACTACTTAGTGAAAGCATAGGTTAATGTCATGACTACTTAGTAAAAGCTCTAGTGATGGGTTCTGCCATGATTCTACTCGTCGATTTATCTTTGGATGGGCACTGGGAAATAAAAAGTGAATACCAAACTCGCATCTGAACTTGAAAGCCATTACCATATATTAATTCTCAAAAAGATTGTGTAAAATGCTTAAACACATGTGAAATTTTTTCTTATCGTCGAAATTAACCTTTCATTCCTCCAAAAACTTCTTCACATCTTTCAACCATAACACGTACTTTCGGGTGTCCGTGGTCATGTAGTTGTACAAGGAAAATTTTGCGCTGTAATCAAATATTGCACACAAATAACTGTGTCTGTAATCCTTGTTTCTGCAAAAGGCCATGAAAGAAAAAAACAACATTATAACCTTTCTTGGATCATGCCTATCTATATGTACAACCTTACACTAATTTGCAGTTATTACATGGATTTTGATTCACAAAGCTTACTTGGAATCAGACAACAAATCACACAGCCGTTGATCCTCCCAATAATTCCCCCGATCAATTAATCATCAGGCATGGAAGAACCATGATCAATAACCGTGCACCTAATTAAACTTGAGGCGGAGTCCACTGATCTTCTTGGTATAATTCACAGTTAGTGGAAAAACAAATCCAAAATCTTCATAATCATAGGGCATGCCTGCTACAACTATAATATGTTCCCCTTGATAGTCTCTAGTCAATTTCACAGTCTTACCTCCATTATCTTCAATTGTGTACGGGTTTATTCCTGGAGTCGGCTCATCATCCGGGAAGAAGAATAATAATTATATGTCAACTTAATTAGCTATTTTTATTGCAACGTAAACCATTATTATAATCAGCAAAAACAAACATGATTTTCCTACTAGTTTAGGAACTAAAGCAAAATGCACGAGTATTTACAAAATCGAGATCATGAAATTGCAAAGCAGAATAGATCGATCTCGGAGTCAATCAATCGGAGAAGCATTTAATTTGGTTGGAGCTCTGCCGATCAATAGCCGTTGAGTAAAGACAGCCACGAGAGACCAAGGGATGCAGCGGAGATGAGTTGCGAGCTAGATTCGAGCGGTTCACGACGGCGGAGATAGATCGGACTCGACCACAAACGGAAGGAAGCAAACTTAGATGCTGACCCGCACCAAGCGAAAACCATGGTCGGTGATTGATTCTCTCTACTTCTTCTGTGGATTTTTAAGGGTTTTCAGTTCCAAAGAAGTATTTATTTTCTTATGACAACTGCTAATAGAAACGACTTGAGCTGAATATTAGGGCTAATGAGATTGTATGAAGTGTTTGAAGTGTGAAGTGTGAAGTGTTTGAGCTGAATATTAGGGCTAATGAGATTGTATCGTAGCCGTTAAGAGCATGGAATTATAAAATCAACGGATGTGGATTAGGCCCATTAGGATTTAAGGTACGGCTCATTAATAATATATTGGGCCTTGATTGTAAAATCTAAATGACTTGATGACCCGACCCGTCCGACAAGTTGACCCGACAACTGAAATCATGAAAATCCACCTTCTCGGATCGGATCTACCTGCGCGATAATAATCTTACAGAGGAAGATTCTTGTCCCTTTGATAAATTCTCGGAGTAGGATTCTCTGACTCTGTCCGTTTTCTTACGAGTTGAGCTATGTGGAGTTCGGTTGCCAATTTGAAGGAGAATTTGAACAAGATCGCCCACGATGTGCACGACGACGACGAAGATGATGATGAAGATCTCACCATTTATGGGTCCACCAATGGCGGCGGTGATTTCTTAGACTCTGATCGGAGGAATTCTAATGGATTTAGGTATTCGAGGTCTGTATCGAGGTCTCCAATGGCCAATGGTGTCGAATCGCCTGTTAATCATGAGGTATTTCTCTTCTTCTTCTTCTTCTTGCTCATTCTTGAATCATCTTCTTCCAGTTACTGGAATGTTGCTTTAATCAGAAGTCTTAGTTTGTGTGTTAAAACTCTGAGAAATGTAGTTATTTATTATTTATGCTCAATTTTGTAGATTGAGAGATATAAAGCAGAGATCAACAAGCTTCAAGAATCAGAAGCAGAAATCAAAGCTCTTTCAGTAAATTATGCGGCTCTTTTAAAAGAAAAAGAGGTAAAGAATGATCAAGAGTATTGTCATACATTGGTTTCCTGCTCTTTTCTCACACAGAAGCCACTTGGTTACAGGATCAGATTTCCAGATTGAACCAGGAGAATGGCTCGTTGAAACAGAATTTGACTTCAACTAATGCTGCTCCTAAAGAGTCTAGAATGGATCTTTCCAGGGCATCAAACAATAATGCTATCAAGGTAGAATGGTAGATACAGCTTATTACTTGCTGTTTCTTATTCAGGAAGAATGCTACATCTTATGTAGTTGTAATGTGTGACCGCGTAGTGTATGGTATATTGTATTTTGATGCAACCGATGCTTCTCACCTTAAATCATTAGACTAACTAATTGTCTTTTGTAGGGAAACGGTGATCATTCACCCAACAGGTCACAAAAATCCCCGACTAATTGGAAAAGCCGAAACCAAATGTACAATGGCATTGCCTCAAAACAAAACGGGACAGAGAATGATTCCGAGTCGCATAAAAAAGAAAAGGTATTTCTCTTGTGTAATGTGCCATTTCTAAAACAAATAAAAGCTATGTTTGTTTGTTAATTGTTAGATATATCTATTATTTTGTATCAGAGTTTCAGAACCAAATCTTCAAAATTTAGTTAGATACGTAAATGACCTTATTCTCTGTAATGAGAGTCCAATAAATTACTCTGGTGTGTGCTTTTTGCTGAACGCAGAACTCTAAACGACAATCTGAATGCCTTTTAGGAGTTTGCAGATATGCTGGAAGAGAGAACCAGGTCAATGGCATCTGCTCAGGCTAGAGAACTTGAGAAAGAGCGAGAAAAATCAGCAAATCTGCAGATTTCACTACAGGGTATATAGTAACACTAGTAGCTTGGCTGATTCTTTATATCTTTCTTATCTGTTATTCTCTCATTCACCTTGCTTTAATTAGGGGAGCGGAAACAAAATGACTCTTTCAAGGAGGAACTCCAGTCTCTGAGGTTAGATAAGGAAAAAGTAAGTATTTAATCTTTATGAACTTAAAAAAAAAATTGTTGCTTAGGTATCACCATTTTTACATTACAGTACTATAATCTGTTTAATGATTAGATATTTATTTCAACTGTATGCAGACACTCATGGAGAGTAACAAATTACGTCATGAACTGGATGCAAAATTGGCTGAAATCAAACAACTGCAGATGAAGTTGAATTGTGGGGAGCAGCGTGTTGGAATTTCCATAGAAAATCTAAAAGAGATTAACAAAGCTCTGGAGAAAGAAAATAATGAGCTTAAGGTCGTAAAACTTTTTATTTTCTTAGCAAGGAATTTTTCATTTTTAGTTTCCTCTGAGCTTTGGACTCTGAAACTGATCTACATTTCTTTCTGTTGTGTAGTTGAAACGAAGTGAATTAGAGGCTGCTTTGGAAGCAAGCCAGATGTCAACAAGTAGGAAACTCTTCCCAGAGGGAACAGAGGCTCTTAGTAGACATCGTAGTAGTTTGGACAAGGTTCTTTAATGCTAACTTTTGATTCAGTTAGCCCTTTAAACAAAAGAAACATTGTTTCTATGCGAAAATTTATGGGGCAAGCATTTATTTATTGTCCCTTCTGCTTTTCCTCATTTATAATTAGGAAAAGCCCGAAAGCTTCCCTGGGAAAGAAGATATGGAGAAATCTTTGCAGAGGCTAGAAAAGGAGTTGGAGGAAGCACGAAGAGAAAAGGATAAGGCACGGCAAGAACTAAAGCGGCTCAAACAACACCTGTTAGAAAAGGTTATTTATCCTAAAGCTAATTTCCTACTTACTAATTACTATATGCTAATGAGGTTATTCAGCTCCCAGCTATGTTTATTTTATATTACCTGAAAATTTGCAATAATTTCGCCAAGTTTATTGATTATCCTCTAATTGTAACTTTTACGTTGTAATGAATTACTTGTGAGTTGTTGATAATGTTTTCTTGGTATCTGTGAACAAAAGTCTATAAATCTTTTCTTGATAAATTCTGACAGGAATCTGAGGAGTCTGAGAAAATGGATGAAGATAGTAGATTGATTGAAGAACTTCGCCAGATGAATGAATATCAGAGGTCTCAGATACTAGGTTTAGAAAAAGCTCTTAGGCAGACAATGGTTAATCAGGAGGAAATAAAGTCGAGCAACGACCTTGAAATCCGGAAGTCCAAGGGTATAATTGAAGACTTGAATCAAAAGCTTGCGAATTGTTTGAGAACAATAGACTCCAAAAATGTGGAACTTTTAAATCTTCAAACTGCTCTTGGCCAGTACTACGCTGAAATTGAAGCTAAGGTTTGTATTAATTGTGAAAGTTGTTTTCCCCTTTTAAGGTGTAAGTGTAACCTTGATTTATGTATTCCTGTTCTTATAATGTTGTAGGAACATTTTGAACGAGAGCTTGCAGTGGCTAAAGAAGAGGCAATGAAACTCTCAGCTCGTTTGAAAGTAAACTCTCTAATTTTTTGCTTTGTCAACTACCTGATATGCCATATGGATTTCCGTTTATGCTATTTTTCTGTCTCTTAAGGATGTTGATGAACGGGTAGAGTCATCAAAGAAAGAAAAGGAGGAAATCACATCGAAGCTGTTGCACGCAGAAAATGTTGCAGCAGAATGGAAAAACAGAGTAAGCAAGGTTGAAGAAGACAATGCAAAAGTAAAGCGTGTTCTTGAGCAGAGCATGACTAGGCTCAATAGAATGTCAATGGACTCCGATTTTCTTGTTGATAGGTGGGTCAATGACTTTTATGTACATATTGTTCCATGTTTCTTCAGATTGTGATCATCTTATCATATTGTTTCTTCAGGCGTATTGTTATCAAGTTACTGGTTACGTACTTCCAAAGGAATCACAGCAGAGAGGTAAGATTTGTGGAATTAGAAGAACAATAAAAATTGTAGAGGAAAACACTTTATTATAAATTTTAGCACATATAGCTTATGCAAAATGGCCGTAAGCTTATCCTTCTCTCATCTGTGTAGGTGTTGGAGCTAATGGTTCGAATGCTTGGATTCTCAGAGGAAGACAAACAGCGAATAGGATTGGCACAGCAAGGAGCTGCAGGTAAAGGTGTTGTTAGAGGTGTATTGGGCTTCCCGGGTCGCTTAGTCGGTGGCATCTTAGGCGGTGGTGGTGGTGGTGGTACACCGGATTCTCATCCAAATATTGCGTCAGATAATCAGGTATCAATAGCTTCAAAAAAAAAAAAAAAAAAACTCTTGAGGATTGAATAAGAACATTTGATTGATTTTCCTGTCTATTTTGTTTGGCTCAGTCTTTCGCAGACATGTGGGTCGACTTTCTACTTAAAGACGCGGAAGAGCGAGAGAGAAGAGAAGCAGAAGATGCAGCAAACAAAGAGCAAGAGAAGGCTACTGTTTCTTCTACGCAGAGACCAATGTATGAACAATCTGATTCGGAGTTTTCAACGGTGCCTCTTACATCATCAGATAGTAATAACAGGCTCTCCAGATTACTCACTTGACTGGGTTTGGTATATACTTTTTATACACGTTTTGTAGGAATCTATAATCCGAATCTCTTGCTTCTTGTGTTGTAATTATCTCTCTCACAACTATATTCCATTGATTCTTTTTTTATACCATTCATTTGGAAAAAATGAAAAAAAAAAAAAAAAAACAAATCAAACTGTTTTTCCCGTGATGTATCTCTTTGGGGAAAAATGTTGGACACAGAGGAAGACTTCGAGTGGAAATAATAATTACTTTTCTATTCTGTCATGAACTTTTACTCCAACAAAATAATTCATTATTTTCTTACTTTTCCATATCTTCTATATATGTGGAAAGTCCAAAACAAAACCATGTCTCACGTTTCATGAGCTCAAGAATTCTCCATACATAGCTGGAAAGAAAATAGTATTTGAAAAAAACAATTGTAGTCAAAATGTGATATAAAAAAAAAAACTTAAAAAGGACATTTTGGGCCATTAGCGGTAAAACTCTGCAAGTGCCAACCAATTTCACATGATCAAAAAATGCAAAAAGAAAACCATAGACGTCTCTCTTTAACCCAACTTTGCCTTTGCCTTGAGAGAAGCAATAGGAATCTTAGAGAGAACCTTTTCATCAAAAACCACGTACTGTTTCTGCAACTCCTTCAATGCTTTCTCTGCCAATGGATCAACCTTGTCCTCGTGTTTCTCATACAACATTGGCACTGTGTGCAATATCACGAAGCAGAAGTACACCAAAGTCAGGAAATTGCACCAATTGCCCACGACCGAGATGATCCATAGACCAACGACAACCTGACATGACAAATCTCGTCATCAGATTCAGGAACAATGAGTTACTTGCACGGTCTTAATGGGCTAGCATACTGTAACTGGACACATTGTTGCTAGAAGATACTTAAGATATTATGTTCCGTCTAAGTGGTGAATATACACGATTCAACAGAGAAAGGTTGAAAATGTAACTAAACACAGCAAAATGTCAGTAACAAAGATTGAGCATACCATTAGGAATTTTTTTAGGTCCCTTCCTAAAGCAATGCTTCGTAGAATAACAAAAGCTTGGTTTAGTTCGTTTCTCAGAGAAGAAGCAATCACAAGGAAAGCCTCCTCGGGAACATGGATTTCTGGAATTTGTGGTGAAGCCCTGCAAAAATGAAAAAAGGCTTTAAGACCATTTAAACCAGAGAAATAACAAACATCTAGGGCTTAACATGATCAAGGGTCTGAATCTTACTTGTTGATAAATGTGTGAACATTGGACCATAAAAAGAGGCCTCCAAGAGCGAGTATCGAAATGTGACACAAAAGACTCAACAAATGATACTCAACCAGCTCGAACAGAACCCAAATGGCAGTTGCGACACCAAGAACAGCAGCTGAGAGTTTTTTATCCCTCCACAAGAACACATCAGCAGCTGCAAAAAGTCATTGAGAAAAGAGAAATAAGGCCAATGACATGAGATAGATAAACCAATAAAGCCAATTTATTGCATTCATATCAAAAAGGTGTAGCAAACAGTAACATAAGAGAAACATAAATGTCTATTATCTAATCAACCAAGTCAATTCCAAATACATTATCCCTAAAGTTCAAGTCTTCTTATGGACTGGAAAGGATCGATTCACAAGAAAATGCAGGTATGACAAATTATGTAAACATGTTTGCATCATATCATCACCAATCGATCTTATACGAGTAACTACACCCTAACATTGCAGATCAAGCATCACACAAAAGACATAAAAACAAAGAAAAGAGAGATTAAATTAAGATAAAACCCTTACGCTTTCCACCACCGAGAACCTTGTGAACAGGCTTCTCTCTGCCAAACAGACGATAGATCTTCGCCTTCACAGCGGAAGGCGAATCAGGTTTCTCGTACTCGGATTCAGACGATGACGACGAATCGTGATGGTGAATCTTCTCAGCGATCTTCTCCATCAGAGATTCCTCCGCCGGCACAGATTTCTCAATTTCTTCCGCCATTGATTTTTCAAATTCAATTTCTCCGATTTCCAAAATTCAACACAAAATATCCAAACGTGAGAAGGAGAGGAGGAATAAGCAAAGGCAAATAATAGGTTTTACACGAGGCTTTATAACCACGAGCCTGAGGTTCGGGAACCGAACGTCGTGGTTCAGAGTTCATTTTGAAATAGGGTTTTTAACGGCGTTAGTATTTTGACGACGAAAAGGGAGAAAACGGACGTTAATTGACGGTGAAGCAGAGCCTCGAAACGTGTAGGCAACGAAAAGGAAGAAAACGCTGATGGTGCGTCATACCTTTTCATTAAGTAACCGACACCACGGTTAGATTCACGACACGTGTCCAATATCGTATAGGCTCACGACGTAACTCTCTCTTTCACTAAGCGGCTTTGGTCAAATTACTTAGATTTTAACCTATTAATCTACTACTACTACTTTATTATTCACATGTAATGTAGCAATGCTAATGTCTATTACATTCCCTAGGTGATATACATCTTATGTATTTTAAGTAGTTAGAAAGAGAATAAATCTAAATTAAAGCGAGGTTAATTACTTAATTACAAAGACATCTTACCACTAAGCTCCAACAACTATACCACAAGATGGTGCCGTGTAGGAAAAAGGGAATTCGTGGACTAGTCTAAGTCAAATAACACATTCACATTTCATTATGACTAACCAAAATTTTCAAATGTATAAATATAATGTTCACACTACCCCCAACCTTCTTATGATTTGTGTGACTAACGTGCGCCTTACGGAAAAAAAAAAATTCGGCTATTATCGAACCACAAGAAACTTCAGATCACGTAGATATGCAGAATTGCTTGAAGGCAACGCTTCTACTGTATAATATGTTGCCATCGGTTAGTTTGACAAAAAAAATCACAAAATGTGATAGACTACACTTTAACTCGACCAACATTTGAACCTACGAGTTTACGATGGTAAATTCATCAACGTCTGTACTCCCGATAAAATAAAAAAGTATACAACCTTAACTCTTTTTGTTCCCAACTTTAGAAACATCTATTTCCGACATTCAACAAATCCAATATTTAACTAAAGTTAGTTTCTGACCCTTGACCAACAAAAGAACTCAAAAAGTAAGTTGCCTTGTTCAAACTCAAACGCTTTTATTTAAGTTACAAAACACGACCGCGTATTTTATTTTCAACCGCTCATATTGATAGGGGAAACAAAAAAAGTTCAAAAACGTCAATAGAAAAGGATAAATTTTGTGAGGTAAGTAGATGATTCAAACTGGATTTCATTTCGATGATATTAATGGCAAACTCCACTTTTGACGGATTTTTAATTACAAATCACTGAATCAGGAACGTTGTGATGAAACGGAGCAAAAATAATACTAGGAATTACCCTAATTAATTAGGCGAATGGATCTGTGTAATAATAATATCATCTTCTCGCTCTCCTCCGATCGGCGGCGTACTGCGAAAGAGGCACAACTTCCGACAAAGGTGTTGACAGAGGCGTTGATGTCGGCGTCGGAAGCGGCGAGTTCCGACAAACAGGACAAGATCCGTTGAGTTTTAGCCACGCATCAAGACAACACAAGTGGAAGTAGTGTTTACACTCGGGCATCATCCTCAGCATCTCCGCTTCTTTATACTCACACAAACAGATCGAACACGTCGTATCTCCTCCGCCACCAAAGCCATCAGAGGAAGCCGCGGAGGAATCCTTCGAAAAGTGGAACTTAGGGTAAGAGTTGATGACGGCTTGATCGAGTCCCACGACGACATCACCTGCTTCGAGATCTTCATTGTCTTCTTCAGCGACGAAGATTATGCGAGGAAGGATTACACTTCCGCCATGATCTCCTGCGGATTCCACGGCGGTTGTGCGGCGCCGAGAGTCACGGCAACAGATGTATGAGGATAAAAGGACGGTTGAGAGAAGGACGAGGAAACCGAGAGCTATGGCTATGGAGTAGCCAAAGCCTAGAGTTGTGAGGTAAGAGTGGTTACCACCGTGCGGTGGCGACGGTGGAAAAGGAGGGTGGACTAGGAAGACGGAGGCGGAGGAGGCGACTGTTGACATCTGATGGTAAAGAAGAAGTCTGGGTCCATGTGGGAGAGAGAGAGAGAAGAGAGTGATAGAGATTTTTATTTTTTTATTTTTTTGAAAATTTAATTTTAATTAATTTAGTTAGGAGAAGAGAAAGAAGAGGTGGGTGGGAATTGCAGCTGATGCATTTAATATTGTTTGGAAACTGAAATTTGCATTTATTAGTAAGTTAGGTTTTATTAATTTAGTGGCCCAACCCCAAGGAATATTATATTTCCTTGTTTTAATTTGTATTTTTTTATTATTGTATAAAATGTGTTCGAGCCATGTAACATCGACTGTTTAACAATATTTGTCAATTTCCTACTCCTTCTGTCCATAAGAAATTTGATATTGTGTATTTTGCACACAAATTAAAAAAAAAATAACTTTTATACATTAATGAATTAATTATAGATTTTGCCATTTTTTATAATGGCATTTATGGATTTTGTTTTTTTTGAATAATTTATGGATTTGTCCTTTTTTAGGCTCCAAAAATATGATTTAACATGTGTTTCATTCGTTATGTTTGGGTTTAGTCGGTTCCAGTTGTTCTTAGGGTTTAGTATTTGGTATAATGTACGTATTTTTGCAAAAAAAAATCATAAATACGTATATTTTTAAATGTTAAAAAATGGCAAAATCCATAAATTATTTAAAAAAGAGCAAAATCCATAAATGCCATTATAAAAAAAGGCAAAATCCCTAATAATCCCTACATTAATTACTATTTTATTTGTTTAATAATATTAATTTTATTTATCTTCTTTCTATGGCCACATATCAAATTTTATGGAACAACAAAAAAACTCACAACATCAATTTTAGTATAACAGAGAAAGTAGTTGATGGGTCCTCTTTGAAAATATTTTATTCGTTGTCATGTTTCATTGATATTCGTTTTGGACTTTTGGTTTTGGTTCGATTTGAGTAATTCAAGGCTTCTCACTGCCATTTTACTAACCGCTCTTGGCTCTTGGGGTTCGTACTAATTAAAGACCTGAGGTCCTGTAAGGTTTAACAAAAACTGCTAATGGTCGACTGGCAAATAAACGATTAAGAGCATGTAACTAATCATGAAGATCAGACAAGATTAGAGCAAACAATGGGATATAGTTAAATTAGCAAAATTGTATGTGAAAATGCTAAAAGACAGAATGATTGATTATAAAATATACCACACGAATAATTTTTAAATCGACCACTTAGTCTGATTAACCAGATTTTTTTTTAAATATATATACATATATATATATATATATATATATATATATATATATATATAACCAGTTAACCAAGGCGTACAACTACGAACCAAAATTTTTAATACGTCGGGTCATTTTTTTGGAACGTTGATATATATATTTAACTTAGACTTTATGTTCACTCCATTCAAAATCCGATAAACTGTACAAAAATTTTTGTAAAAAGAAGAAAAGATAAAGAAACAAGTCTATCATCGTGCTAAAAATAAAATGACCCAATTTTTTTAATTTTTAAAAAAAACAGAATAATTTAAAGCAACTAGAACATGTAAATAGTATTTTGTGTTGGTGCTACTGCTGTCATGGAAGATTCTAATCCGCATATCTCACGTTGTTGAAAAACAAAACAAAACATTAGAAGAAAAAAAAAAGTTAATCGATCGATCCTATAACGTATACCTCAAAGATCGATTTTTTTCTTGCAATCGACATCTTGAATCGCCTGGCCCGTAATGTTCACAGCCATCGTGCAATTCATCTTAACGGTCACATGCTTCTTCACGATCCCCAAAATCTTTACCTTACCACCAACCCTAGTGTAACTCCACATGTTCACAAGACCCGACCTAGTTAATTCTCGACCCAAACCCGGATCTGATAATATCCGATCAATCATAATATCAACCGTCAAGTTCATCCTCGAAGTTCGATGCGGTCTCGCCTTCCCCGGTAGCCCATGCGCTTCACCCACCAACGTTCCTTTGTAATATATATCCGTCGTGGTGTTGGAGTACTTAAACGACGCCATATTTGGATTCTTGACCGACACGTCAACGATCATTGAGATGTTTGTCCCCAACAGTTGGACCTGATTAATCCCCGTGACTGAATCTAGGCCGTTGACCATTACGCCGTTCATTTTTATGATCGGGTCTTTGACTCTGAACACCGTGAAAACTAAAGTCAACACGATCGTGATAAGAATTATAGATGTTGCAATGACGCAGATTAAGCATTTGATTCGATTTTTGCGACGACGAGTGTTCTTGATGTTGGAGGCGGATTCGTCGCTCACCGGAAGTATGGTCGCCGGAGCTAGCGGACGAACATGTTCGGAATCTGTCATGGTGTGTTTTTTGGGTCTTTTTATCTGATTAATTACCTCTAGCTTATGTGATTTATATAAACCAAACTTTAGTGATGGAGAATGTTGAATTTTATATTTTATATGTCCTGTGTTTCATGTGCAATCAATTCTTTAAAAGAAAACGAAAAAATAAATGTGATTGTCCTAACCACTAACACAATTAGGGTCAATTATTGCAGTGGAAAATGGGAATGGTATTAAATTGAGTCTGATTTTAACGGTCATATTGGTGGAAGAAAAGTAGAAGCTGCGTATCGGTGGGGATGCCGAATGCGCCAATAAAGATTCGCCAGCTCATTACACTGTTTTGACTTTTGCGTCAACGTCCGAGGATTCTTTCGAGAAAGATGAAAGGAAAAAGTGGGAGTAAAACGTATTATATCGTTCTCCCCTTGAAAACTACTTTAGATAATTAGAGTTAATGTTCATCAATTTATGTACATTGTTTTGGTTTTACTGTATTTTGAATGTATACAAGATACAACTTTGTGTTTGAGTCTTCCACAATTATCTAAACAGCTGTTTTCTAGTTCAATAATTTGAAAGAATATAGACAGATAATTTGGATTTGTAACACTAAATGCATTACTTTAGTTAGTTTAAGTGGATTAAGATCAGTTTGCTCCTAACTAATCTTTCTCAATTATGGTTAGCTGGAGACAACCTACATTCATTCATGGTCCCCCTTTGCCTATTTGCTCTCTTAACTCAAACTTTTGTTTATTCGTTCTTTCTCTTGTTTATATAGTCCATTGGTTTAACAAAAAGTATCATTTTAGATTAAGACTTTTTGTTTAGCAAAATATAGTTTTATATTCTTAATGCAGTTTTTGTAACTAATTTTCAGATTTACCATTTGTTTAAAGTTAATAGTCTCTGAATTTAGTCATTTTAATTTATTTAGAAGTATATTAAGGAGGGATATATTTATATGTTTAAATGATTTCTTAATATACGTGAAATATATAAAAATGAAATTTATATGAAACAGAAGGAGAAATATTTTTCATCGAAGTTTACATCAATCTCCGTGACTTGGGGAAAATAGTCGAGTATTCATTTTGTATGGGATAACTGAGAAATTATGGTTTGAATAAGCATGTTAAATTAGTTTTTTCCGTTGTTGGTAATCGAACTTATGACCTGTAAAGACCCGTATTCTTGCACTTGTAGTTTTAGTCTTACTTTTACTCAGATGTCCAAACTCTCGACATAATGAAAATAAGAAACATAGTTTTATACGAAGCAGCTAACCAAAGTTATAATCCACAACATACATAAAAAACCAATAAAATCCTTATTCCTTAACAATCCAATAACAAAATCAACCATGAAAAGAAGGATTCCAGAAATGTTATCTCCGATCGTTTATGTTTATAGATCGTACGTTATTGAAAATTAGATTATGATTAAACTATAGTTGAAATAAAATTAAAAGAAGTCGCGAAGGGAGGGGAGCTTGATCTCTCCCTGAGTAGAGACAGGAATGGTGATGTCACCAACAACAGGAATGTCGAAGGTCAGCCCAATGTCGAGTTGATAGTCAATGTCCCAGTCCATACACATGTCCTTCATCAGACTAACCGCTATGCTATAAGCCACCTTAACGGGTACGTCCAGAACCGTCGTGCCGCTCCCAACCAACGAGCCCGGGTCCGGTATTGTGCCTGACGCGATCGTCCTACGCATGCCACAAACATTATTAATCATCACATGATGAACAAACAAACGCTACACCTACACATGACGTTGACGTGTGCGTAACGTTATTAGTATTTTAATATTTTGTATACATGTGTAAATATATACATTAGCCTAGGATTCATATAAATGCTAGATATCATCGATGCACATGGATAATGAAATTAGTATATGGATATATGTATTAATGCGGCACAATGCGAAACGTATACAATTAGTAAGAAAATCAGATCTAGCCATTTCGGTATATATCGAGGCAGACAATTTACCAACGAAATCCATATACATATCAAATACTTTTATCAATTCATAATCAAACATTAGATCGGATGCATATTTTGATTCATTAATACAAAGATCGGATACACCTAACGAAAAGTACCATGCACATTTATAAGTAAAAATTCTCAAAATTTAGAATCACAAATTCTATTCGAAGCCTTAGGCTATAGATCCGGTATACGGATTATATCATGATCTGTGTAATAACAAGTGCACAATCCGGATTTTCTTTTTCTTTAAATATATGTTTTGCTTCCTAAATTTCGTTCGTCCGATGAAGAGTTAACGTAGATCAGACGGTACAGAAATTATAAATTAAAAGAAAGAAAAAAAAAAGAAGAGAAGATCACCTTGTGGCACTCTTGAGGATGTAAGAGATCTGGCAAATAGGGATGGATTGAGAGTAAGGATTCTTGACGGAGACCTTGGCGTGATAATCAACTCCTTCACGTGTAACGCCTTTGAAATCAACGTCGTCCACGGTGGCTTCCGGCGTCGGGATATTCGCCAGCTTCTCCGCAAAGAAACCTTTGGCTTTGTCCAACAAGCTTGAAATCACGGACGCCTTTTCTTCCACCACCTTTTCATCCGCCGATGCCATTCTTCTTCTTTTTTTTTTTGTTGTTTCTTCAAAGGATCAGATCTCTCTTTATCTCTCTCTCTCTCTCTTTCTAATGTCTACGGCTCTGTCGGTTCTATATATTTGCTACCTCTTTTAAGGATGATAAATACCTTAATTGCCGGAGCGTGACATTTTTTTATTTTTCTTTAGTTGGTGAAAAAGGAATCATATAATAATTTTTTCATCATTAGAAAAGGAATTAGATCCTTTTTTAGAGCAGCATGGTCATAACGTGCGTTCTTACTTCTTTGCTCGTCCCTAAAAAAAAAAAAAGAAAAAAAACATATTTATCATAGAATATATTATTATTTTTTTGTATATTTTGGCTTATAAATTAGCAATATGTTTTTAGTAGTATCCGAACAAATTAATTAGTAGTTGTTTTACTATTATGACCAATTATTTCTAATAGATTTACCATTACTAAAACTTAAAACTTTAAAGATATTTAACAACTACATGTTGACTAGTACTACTTTTCTAAACATTAACTTTTGGTAAATAATCCTAAGAAGATGGAAATTTAAGAGATTATTTTATCTTTCAAAAATTTGTCGTCAAGACATATTTTTTTCCAATTTTAAAACATTATTTGAGGAATATTTAGAGATAAACATCATTTGCTTAAGTTGAAAAGTGGATTTATGGAAGAAAAAAAAATATATGAAAATGTAGTTTTTTTGTTTCTTCTTTAAACTCGCCAATCCATATTTATTGGTACACTTTGTGGCTTCAACGTCGCCAAGACTTGTTCGCTTCTTATTTTCCGTGCCTATTTAAGGAGACTGATCAAAACTTCAAAGCAATTCATGTAATAAACTAGGCTTGCGACTTTGAGCCGAACGGTTAATTCGGTTTCGGTTCTTCGGTTTTTCGGTTTATTCGGAATTTGAAACCTATTCCGAATTGAACCGACTAATAATTCGGTTCGGTTCGGTTCGGAAACGGTTTAGTCGGTTTTTGTAATTCGGTTTAGTCGGTTTTCTACCAAAAAGAAGAAAATTAAAATTATTACAAATTCAGAGCATTCATCATGAATATACAACAACAACTCAATAACTTGACATAAATGAAATACAATAGATACATAAGATCTTCCAAAAAACAATTAACCTGAAAGGAATGACAAAAAACCAATGATCCATTACGCCTAAGTTACTATAGAGCATGGATGCATTTGGTATGTTGTCATTGTTCTCCTGACGCCAAAAGAGAAAGAGTTTGTTGTTCAAAAATCAAAAATAGAGAGAGAAAGAGACAAGCCTTTAAACCTTGAAGATCATATGTGTTTGTCGTCACCTTGTCTGTTAGGCAGAAAAATAAGAAAAAAACAAAACTGACTTGTTAATGAAAGACTAAAGTAAAAGATCGAGTGTACCTCAATTTCCAACTCCAATTCAAGGGCCAACTGATGATTGGGCATGAGTCTGTGAACCTACACAAGGCAAATGAAATGTAATTGAGTCTATAGTAAAAACCAAAAAAACTTAAAGACAGAATGATTACCTAAAGACTCATGAAACTCCAATTCTTCAAACATTTGAACCAAGTTTGCTAACTTCTCCTCATGAATGGTATTTCTAAGCCATTGTTGAGTGCAAATCAATGATTCAACCATGTGTGGTGACAAGCAACTTCGGAAAGGGTCCAAAATACGACCACTGGTGCTGAATGCAGACTCTGAAGCCACAGAGGAGACCTGAATGGCAAGCACATCTCTTGCTAACTCTGATAAGATTGGGAATTTAGAACTGTTCTTCCTCCACCAGCTTAAGACATCATAATCCAATCCCAAACCATTTGTAGTTCTTGGCACTTGTTTCTCAAGCAAGTAAATGTCAAGTTCACTACTAGCTTCTTCATTTGCAGTCTCTGCTAACATCTCAGAGTACAAAGAGTCCATCCTCTCATAACCATCATCATCTGCCAAATCAAACAAGGCACTTACATCGGCTGCTTCTCCTTGATCACTTCTTGTTGCACCACTATCACCTTGAGAAGAGGTGCTCAGCCTCACCACATACTCCTCATATAGCTTTTTCATCACACCCCTAATCCCTGATCTAAGATGATTAGCTTCCAGGCTATCTTTCCCATACAGCTTGTCAAAACAAAGACTTGCAAATTGCATTTTGTTCCTCGGATCAAAAACACTTGCAATAATCACAAGCGGATTCATGTTGATAAGACCATCCCAATACTTCTCAAATTTAGCCCTCATCGCCATAGCTTCTGTCTTCAATAGTGTATCACTGTTGGTGCTTAGATTGATCAAATTTCTCTCAATGGTCACAATCTCATTGTAGCAAATAGAGGATGTCACTGATTTAGATGCTGAAAAGGATAGAGTGCAATTGAAAAAGATTTTCAGAAACTTACATAACCTTTGCACTTCTTCCCAGCTAGCAAAAGTCGGAGGACCAATTCGTTTGCCAGCATCCTCATCATCATCACCAGCAGCCTCTCCATTTTCCTCATCCTTTTCCATGAAATACTCATTATACAATTTATCCTCAGCCAACATCTTATCAAATGCACCCCTAAACTTGATTGCGGCTGTGAGCATAAGATAGGTGGAATTCCACCTAGTGACAACATCGAGGCACAAGCTTCCTCTACTTGCATTTCCTGTCTCAACCCTTGATTTAAAAGACTTAAGTCTGTCACCCGATGACCTCACATACTTGATAGCATTTCTGATAGCCATTATACTATGATTAGCTTTTGCTAACCCATCTCTAACTATCAAATTTAGAATATGAGCACAGCAACGCATGTGAAGGTACTCACCACCTTTTACTAACGCATAAGGATCTCGCATAATCAAATCCTCTGTGAACAACCGTAAAGCTTTCTCATTTGCTTTTGCATTATCTACAGTGACTGTGAAGACCTTCTTGATGCCCCATTCATCTAGGCAGCCAATCAAATGTGATGCAATGGTATCTCCCTTGTGATCAAGGACAGGCTTGAACCAGATGATCCGTTTCTGCAATCTCCAATCTTTATCAATCCAGTGAGCTGTCACCACCATGTAACTACAAGAAGTTGTGGTAGCTACCCATATGTCTGATGTCAATGAGACTCTCTGTTTTTCCTTACCAAACAACTCCTTCAAATTAGCTTTCTCTTGCAAAAACATTGCATAACAATCTGTAGTGGCTGTCTTCCTGCAGTGAACCGTGTACATGGGGAGATTGTTTCCACAAAATCTCCTAAACCCCTCTGATTCCACAAATGCAAAAGGCAGCTCACAAAGCACTAACATCTCATTCACTGATCTTCTAAACAACCATTTATCATACTTGATTGCTGTCATTACACCACTGCTATCTCCAGCTAACACTTTCTGATTATCACTCTCATACATCTTGAATAACTTGCACCTTTTGATGTGATTGGTCATAGCACTTGTTCCAGTTTTGACTGTGTCGCACCCAATCAGTTGGCCACAGTATCTACACTTGCTTAAAGCCAGATTGTCTTCTTGCTGAACGAAATGCTTCCACACAGGTGCTCTATGAGCTGGCCTTTTCCTCGGTTTGACTGCAAAACCAGAACTTGATCTCTGAGATTTGGTTCTTTTTCCTCCAACTGAAGAGGGAGGTGGACCATCTTCTTCTCTATCAATCTCTTGACCAAGATTGTCATCATTGTTGTTTTCTGATTCCGACTCCATCTGCGAATTAAAAGAACAAACAATCAGACAAGAGATTACATAATCAAATGAATAACAACACATAAAAACAAAATGCTCAAAGCCAACTCATATCTATAGTAACGTTCATGATTAAATATGTGAAGGTATAATCAGAGAGACAAGAGATGTGAAACGCCACCGCCACCGCCACCGTCGGAGGAAGAAGGAGGGTGAAAGTGGAAGTGGGAATCGATGAGATACAGAAGAAGAAGAGAGAGAGAGAGAGAGTACCAGTGTAAGAGATAATGGCGAAACGAGAGATTAAAAGAGAGAGAACTTACAAAACAACTACAATCGAACACTGGTGATGAAGATCGAAGTCGAAGAACACACGGAGTAACGGATGATGAAGATCGAAGCTCAATATCTCGAGTTTCGCCGCCTGAGAGAGAGAGACTGCGATTAGGTTAGGGTTTATTTTTTTAACAACTAATGCCTGATATAACGCTTATATACTTACGGATAATTTTCGGGTAACCGTCGGTTATGTCTATTCCGAACCGAACCGAATGCATAACCGAACTAATTTTATAATCATTCCGATCGGTGCAAGTTTACAAATATGAACCGAACCGATTTGTCCAAATTCCGGTTCGGTTCGGTTCGGACAAATCGGTTCGGTTCAATATCCCAGGCCTATAATAAACCGTAACTGACTTGGTATTTGTCTCATTGACATTGCTCATTGTATAAAATAAACAATGATCACTCACGATGAGCCAATAGTTTATAATTCAAACTAAATTAAACTGGTTATGGGCTGGAAAACTTCAACCGAAACCAAATCCGGTTTTATTCGGTTTACATGACGATGTTTGCTCTGTAATCACGTGACAATCGTTTCATTCGGATTACAATTGATTTGTTTTTTTTTTTTTGGTTATATGATTAAAACTGATCTATAATCAAAATGAGATTGAAACTATGAACATATATATTGACATATATGATTACAAGGCTTTAGTTCGCTCCGTTATATGAACTAGCTAGGGAACGTTAGATCGTTAAGATATATATACACATAATTAGATTAGGTGATCAACTTAGACAGGAACTGCATTTGATGAAGAAGAGGTGTTAGGGTTTGCATGTGCTCCTCACAAGGATGGTTATGGATTCCTTCATAAGTTGTCTCCACCATGTTCGTCTCCTTCGACAGCCTCTGAACTTGCTTCTTCACGTTACACATGTGTTGTGTGCATCTATAATAGCTCCTTTTGATTTACTCGTTTTAAAATTCCGATTTCATATGATCTCAAGTGAGAAGAAACACAAAAACTACAATTTTTTAATTTTATTTTTTGAGATTTTACCTGGGATACAAGCTGTTCTTGACGGACTTCTGACCGTACTTTCTCCATCGATAACCATCATCAAGTAAATCTGAATCACTCTTTGTGCGAAACGCAAATCGCGGATTTTTCATCTTCTTATGACTGATATCACGAGAAGAATCGAGGAGGCCATTCATTGAAGAGGAGATATGATGAATCAACAACGAATGTGATTCCTTTATCAAGATTTGTGTGTTAGAATTCTTCCTTTGATTTGTATTGAAGAAATATATAAAAGGTTGAGAAGCCACATTCAACTACTTCAGACCAACAACAAAAAAAATTCCTTCACGTCATCACACACGTGTGAGACTAAAAAACCAGAGACATGGTTTGGTCTGTTGACTAAAAAAGCTCCGTTGCCGGAACTCGAACCCGGGTCTCTCGGGTGAGAGCCGAGTATCCTAACCAGCTAGACTACAACGGATATTGTTGATTCTGTTACATTATATTTACTTATAGTAAAAGTATTACAATTCCTATGCTTCATTTTTGCCATTGCTATGCTTGATTTGTGTGTGAAACCCAGAAATGAATCTAAACAGACTCTTATGGTTTCTTCAAAGATTGAAAAAAGTTTCACACAGTCACATAGAGTGGTTTATTCATCGATACAACAATGGCTTCGTCACTCACTAGGAACTGCTCTCGCTTCTCCAAAGCCATCTCTGTCCGTTTCATGAGTAACCTACCGGAGAACACCGTCTACGGAGGACCAAAGCCGCAAAACCCAAACCAAAGAGTGACGCTAACGCATCTCAGACAAAAACACCGGAAAGGAGAACCGATCACCGTCGTAACTGCCTACGATTACCCATCCGCCGTTCATTTAGACACAGCTGGCAGGGCCGGCCCATGGGTAAAGCCCATGAAGCAAGGGCTTTAGACATCAAATAATTATAAGTAGTTTTAGGGGCATCAATTTTTAAAATGTTACTGTGGTCTAGTGGTTAGATTGAAGTCTTTTGTTGTACAGGTCATGGTTTCGAATCCCATACATGTTAAAACTTGTATTTTTTTTTTTATAACAGCTTTTGCTAATGGGCCAAATTTTTTTTGCTTTAGGCACTCAAATAGTTTGGGCCGGCCCTGACAGCTGGTATCGATGTTTGTCTTGTTGGTGACTCAGCTTCCATGGTTGTTCATGGTCACGACACAACACTTCCTATCTCCTTAGACGAGATGCTTGTCCATTGTCGAGCCGTTGCTCGAGGCGCTAAACGGCCTCTCCTAGTTGGTGACTTGCCTTTGGTACCTACGAGTCAAGCTCTAGTCAGGTAAAATTGAATCTTTTCCTCTCTGAAAACATGAATTAACCATATTTATTGATAAGCCATGTTCATCTGCTTAGTACTTGTGTAGGTAATTAGATTCTTGATTGCAACACTCTGTGGGAGTTACAATGTTAATTTCATTTCCTTATACATTGTTTAGGTAATTGGATTCTTGATAGAAAAGTCTTAAATGCTACATTATGTGTCAATGCTTGTGTAATCAGAGATTTAGCTTCCTCAATTTCGAGGACCAGTCATGTGATGATCAAAGTTCACCACATTTTCTGATAACCCTTTAGTACTTGTTTATGCAAAGTAGATTTTTGACAAGATTTTGTGTCATTGAAACAATTTAGGTCCCTGATTTTTGGATTTAAATGTTGGTTTCAGGCGGTTGATACTGTTGTTAGGGTTTTGAAGGAAGGAGGAATGGATGCGATTAAGCTCGAAGGAGGATCCGCTTCTAGGATCACTGCTGCAAAAGCCATAGTTGAAGCAGGAATTGCGGTTATCGGTCATGTGGGTCTAACTCCTCAGGCGATCAGCGTTCTTGGTGGTTTCAGACCCCAAGGCAGAAACATAGCTAGTGCTGTTAAAGTTGTTGAGACTGCAATGGCTTTACAAGAAGCTGGATGTTTTTCTGTTGTTTTGGAATGCATTCCACCTCCTGTGGCTGCTGCTGCAACCTCTGCCCTCAAGATACCAACCATTGGCATTGGGGCTGGACCATTCTGCAGTGGACAGGTTTTATTTGAAAAGTTTCTTCTTTTCGGTTTTGTGTGTAGCCAAGTGACAAATTTGCATTTCTTATACCTGTTAATTGTTTTCTTGGAAACGCAGGTGCTAGTTTACCATGATCTTCTTGGTATGATGCAACATCCACATCATGCCAAGGTAAAATCCTGACCCAACTGTTGTTTTCGAAATGCATTCTCTTGTTGGTTGGGTCGTTATCAACATTCTTCTTGTTTCATGCTCTTAAATTTCACAGGTTACTCCAAAGTTTTGCAAGCAGTACGCTAATGTAGGAGAAGTGATTAACAAAGCCTTAATGGAATACAAAGAAGAAGTCTCTAAAAAAGTGTTTCCAGGTCCTTCTCACAGTCCTTACAAGATCACAGCAAGCGAGCTCGATGGGTTCTTAACCGAGTTGCAGAATCTTGGCTTTGACAAGGCCGTTTCTGCAGCAGCTTCAGCAACTGAGAACATGGAGCCTTCAAAGTGACAATTGTATTCCAAAATCTTGAGATACAGTGTCAGTTGTACTACACTAGAGAATTATCATTTTTTTTCAAAAGAATGCAAATTTCATAAACCACTCAAATTACTGAATACTGATTACAGAAACTGAAAAAGATTGTTCTAACAAGTTGGGATGTCAAAGTAAGAAAGACGAAACTTTTTTAGATGATGCCAATCTTGTTTGCAACATTCAAGGCATCATAATCCGGTGTCAACCTCACACGAGCCTTATTGAGTCCATCGGGTCTGATCAAAATGTTAAAGTTTCTTAATACAAATAAGCAGTGCAACGTCAATAACATTGAGAACGCTGTGCAGCGGTATGACCAAATGGTTGATTCTGGATGCTCTCTGATTTAAGAAATATTACGCTTTGATCTCTGGTTTGTGCCAAGCTAGGCGCGACCATGATGCCCTTAAAATGGTGGAAAAACTGAAACGAGCTGGATTGTCTCTTGACTTGCTGGCTTATAACATGCTCAGTGGATTGTTTTGTGATAAGAACAAGGCAGATGAAGTTTATGAGTTGTTAGATGATATGAAGGCAGCAGGATTGATGCCTGATTCCATCACTTACAAGTTACAACACTTATGTCCATTGAACCAAATCACATCACTATAGAAAATCTAATGAAGCTGCTCCCCGAAGTTGGTGAATCGAAAAAGCTGAAGAAGTTCATGCAAGATTTCTCTGTTGCTTCTCCAACCGAGAAGGATGGACCTTTGATTTAAGCCGAGCTAATGAGACAGGGATAGTATGTTTATATGTGTCATCTTCAATAGATTCATTACAGATCTCTAATAGTACAGTATCTCTAATAATAGTATTAGTTTCAGAAGGAAGTTTCCACATATTTACGGTTTAAAAAATCTAATTTGAAATTGACATCATTCTTCATCCACTAGTTTTGTGTTCCCCCCACTAAACCACGGCTGGGTCTCAGAAGTTGCTTGAACAGAGCAATCTTAGGGACATTCCAATGCTCCACGTGCCTGCAAGCAACATTCATCAAAATATGTTTAACCAGCTTCTTCTTCTTCACAAAAGATTTCAAAGTTGAAAGAGATTAGTGTGTTTTACCTGCAAATTTTCCCGGATTCTGGGTCGAAAAAGTATTCCGTGTAACCAGTTGCTGTAAAAACAGAATTTTCCCTTGTCATGAATTTCCATAAAAAGACATTAAAGTTTTGTCCTTTTTATCTTCATTACTAATCATTGAAGCTATAAACTTTTATCCTAAAAGGGCTACAAAAATCTGAAACTTTTATGGTTTCCTTGATAAAAATACCTGAAAGAATGGGTTTCCATGGAAACGACATAACACAGCTAAATTTCCAATGTCCAACTCCTTTATCCTGCAAAACTCATGACGGAGCTCCGGTGATGAAAAAAAAAACAAAACTTTGACTCCGACATCGGAAAAAAAAAATCATCTTTCACCTCAAAATTCTCCCATTTCATGAGCTTCATATTGGATTTCTCGATTAGGCTTCCGAAATTAGTGCAATTCCTTTTGAAACGAGCAAGACCTTTGAAGGATCCAGCCGGATCAGCGAATTCACACTTGTCCTCATAAACCTCAGGCGTCAAATTACCTGAAAAGTCAGATATTCCGATTTAGACATAAGAACTCATATCACACGATTTGGATGAATTTTACTGACCTGTGACGAAGTAGGATCGTTTAAAGTCTTGTTTAATCGAGTCCACGACAGCTACACGAACGGCTCTTCCAGAACAATCAACAGGAACCTCAAAGCCTGTCACAATCGGAGAAGTCTCCGGAGATCGGAAAACGGAAGCAGCGATTCCAAGTAGCTCGGATCCGTACCAAGCGATTTTGAGTACAACATTCTCCGGCTCGGGTGCTTTACTTGTCTGTGGCTCGTTAGTCGGATTTTGTCCTCTGCAACTCACTCCAGTTGCTTCAAATCGGCGGTTCAGCCGGAAAATTGAACGACCACCATCGCCGGAGAAGATTGGATTAACGATGGCAATGGAATGAAAGGAAAGAGAAGCTACCATTTTTTGGATTCAGTTGTGTGATTGATTGATTTAGGAAAATGCGACTTTTGCTTTAAAAAGTATCTGTTCGTGGTTAACAGAGACCACACAATAAATAGTGATAGTAACGAGCAACACAAGTAACGCGAGCATAGAAATCTGATTCGCTAAACAATGAATCAAATTAGTGGTTGTTTTTCAGAAGAAGAATCCATATAGACCAGATAAAGTTGAAGTATTCTACACTTTTCTTGGCAAGTTTATCCTAAGAAATCTGCGGTTTTGATCAACAGATCATGTCGATGGCACCGGGTAAAATCCGAAACTTTCTAGGTAGAAATCCAAGATGTTCTCCATCTGATTGAACATAGATACTTCCACTGTCTGAAATCTCTTCAACTTCAATACTTAGTACACTACAAGAGAGGAAGCATAAAGGTGGTGACTTTTCTAGTGCTAAGGTCATTTAAAGGACAAAATGAGAAGAAACAAAAAAAAAGTCTTACCTTCTTGAAGTCACATTGTTAACCGAAAGATGCGTCCCATTGTATAGCTTATGAAGTTTAAGTACGAAATCATACCATTTGAAGTCTTGAAGAACCACAACCTACAGGGAAGAAGTGTATGATGGTCAAGACTCTGAGAGCTATCGTATTCACTACATAGTATTTGGGATTGAAGAAACGAATTGTTGCACTTCAAGATTTCCATTTCCAGGGATGGCGTTGGGTGTGATTTTCATTCCACCACCAAAGTATTTAGCGTTTCCAACGCAGAGAGCAGTGACCTGAGGATATATTTCCCATTCACCTCCATTGACCTGAGAAAATAACACAAAGCTTTCAAGTGACTTGCTACGGTGCAGAAGGAATTTCGCAAAAAAAAAATTGCTTACTCTGATTCTCATATCTCGGTTATGATGCCCCATGAAAGCTTGTAGGGCACCAATTACATAGCACAAGTTTCCAAATTTCTTGTATTTTGAAGCGTAAAATCCAGCCTTTGCGCTCCTGCAAGTAAGGAGCAACAAAGGAAAGATTTATAACCGCCTCATTAGGGATCAATCACACAGGAAATTTCCACGATATCCTTACAAATGAACATCAGCTACGTTGATGAAGTAATGCAAATCCTTTCCTTCCTTGTCGATAATACCAACATCAACCCGTGATCGCATCCCTGAGATAATGCTGGTTATGTGATATATGAGACATAAATATAACTAAGTCCTAACTCCTCAAATGGATTCAGTGACATACCTTTAGCAATGCGCTCCACCGCCTCACAAGGATCATTGTTCCTAACAAATGCAGAATATAATTAACATATGGCTCACCATAAGTTTTGAAAACAAATCACAATAAACAGAAGTTGCAAAAACTAACCAACCAAATGTTCTAGCAAAATCTGAACCAGTACCTAAGGGAATCAGCTGCAAAAAAATAGGATGGACTGAGATTGAAATTTGTAACTCCGCAAGAGATATACACAAAAACAAGTAAAAAAGTCAACTCAAGCTACTCACACCAAGTGCAGTCGAATGACTAGCTTCGCTGTTGAGATTACCGACAGGTTTCCCCTCCCAAAAGAAACCATTAACAACCTGTGGATTAAAAAAGATAGAATGAGTGGAGCTAAGATTCTCCAGAGCTCAGTTCTAGCAACAAAAAATGGCAATTCCTACCTCATGAAGTGTTCCATCACCTCCAACCGCAATGACAGCATCTGCACCATCCCTTATAGCCTGAGAGGATAATTAGAAGCAACAAACGATCAGCATAAAACCAAATAGACAAGACACAGAATACTGTACCCATCAAAGTTGTATATTACTTTCACTGCTCCTTACCTCTCTTGTAATGTCAATGGCATGAGAAGGACCCGATGTTAATGATTCACTTACCTGGAGAAACAAACAAGAATACGGGAAAAATCAGTTTAAGGAACTGAAGAAAACGAAAGGAGATGGCATCACTAACACAGGGGCACAAAAAAGCAAGTGAATCAAAAACTCACATTACAGTCTTTACCAAGACGAGATCGAAGGTAAGGAAGCAACTTCTTCCATTCTTTAGCTGTTCTACCATTAGCACCTAATTTCATATAAAGGATATAAACCCTAAACCCCAGTTCCAACACGAGATTGATTCTCATATAAAAACATCATTTTCAAATCCAATGAATTTCAAATCTCAGTCGTTTATTTGTCAAGTGAGTAAAAGGGCAAACACACCTTGAGGGTTTACGACGAAAACGAGCTCACGGAGGCCGGAGGAGGAGACGACGGCGGAGGCACTGCCACCACCACCACCGCGAAGGGTGAAGTGATCAGAGGAGAGATCAGAGGTTATACGTTGCTGTTTCCTAGGGAACGAAGGTTGTTTCGCCGTGAAAGGGCAAAGTGGAATGCAGCAAGTGGATCGTAGCATTGTATGGCCGCAATTCGGCTCCGGGAGACATCATCGCCGTTATCAAGTTCATCGCGCGATTAGACACTTACAGAGACCCTCTGTTTCAGCGAGAGGCTTTTCTCAACGTTTATGGGCTGGTTTTTCTCTTAAAAGTTTTAAGTCTATATTGGGCTTAAACCCATGGCCCATAAAACATAAATGTATCTTAACTAGATAATAGTATAAATTAAGGAACAAGAAAAACGAGTGAGGTAAATAAAATAAAGACAGCTCTTTAGTCTTTGTCCGGATGTGAGAGTGGGGCCATACTTTTGCCGACCGGTTTTTTCATGACAGCTGTCATATGGGCTTTGCGGCCCATTTCTTACGCAATTTTCTAAGGAATTCGTTACGTCAAACAAATTTTATGAGTTGTTTGTTTATCTTAAATATTTAGTTGTTGATTCCGTAAAAGAAATATAGTTGCTGAAAAAAAACTACTATTATTTACATGAATTTAACAATTAAAAAAAAATTGAATAGTCAAAAATTTTCCGACTAAATCTTCTAAGGTGTTTTTTTTTTTAAATCAATAACGGGAGTCTGTAGGACGTGGTATTTTTAATTTATAGCCGTTAGATTTGGTTATAATAATTAAAAATAAACAAAGACTACGCCAATCACTTATTTATAATCCCACGAAATCGTCTCATATTATTATATAGCCGTCCACTTTCCGCTAAGAGATTAAACTATACACAGGGCTGTGACCAATTAAATCCTAGCAGCCATTCATAATTGTACACTTGGAAGTTTGTAATTAGTTTTTTACGTGACGGGCCGTGACTTTATCAAACTCGACCTCCGCCATACATTTTTCTCAGCAGACCGAGTCAGAAAATTCAATGAAGCAATAGAAGAATCATTTCCACAAGACTTTCCCTGTGATTTCTTCATCTCCGGCAACTTAATACGGTAAGTTTCGTGGAAATTGAATTTTGTGTTATCCATAAATCTCCTTTTCTTTCTGTGTGTTCTTCTGTAAATCGAAGTCTGCGTTTTTAGTTTTAAGATAGATTTTACTATTCGATGAAGAGTTTTTACCTAACTTGTGTGGGGTTCTTCGAATTTGGGAAAGATTGGAACTTTTATCCTAATTCCTTAATTCTGGACTTCTTCAAATGTAGATCAAGGCTTAGAACAATTGATTATGTTTTTGTTTCCATCTTCAAAGATTGATTTTGCATTATTTCAATAAAGGAGGTAATTTTTTTTAATTCAAGATCTCTAAAGTTGTCAGCTTTTTGAGACTCTTAAGGTTGGGACTTGGGATTGTATTGTTCCTCGATTAGCCCTTCCATGTGTGGCAACATTGAGTTCACATCAAATCGGTTTGTATGATTAATCATCAACATGATTCTAACAATACTTCTGTTTTCATTTTTCAGTATCTAGCAAAATGAGCCGAGCACAAGATCCACCCCGAGGTTTCTTCCCATTTGGAAATCCCTTTCGGATGTTATCACCAAAGGGCTCAGATTTATCACCATGGCTACTTTCTCTATTGAACGGCTTTGAGCTACGTTTGGAAGAGAGACTAAAGAAACTTATGCCTAAGAGCAAAGATGAAATCCTCACTTTATCGTGGATGAAGCTAGCTATGGAGTCACTCTGCGAGACTCATAATAACATAAACACTCTCATCACTGATCTCCAGCTTCCTGTCTCTGATTGGGAAGAGAAATGGGTTGATGTTTACCTCAACATAAGCGTTAGGTTACTAGATCTCTGCAATGCCTTTAGCTCAGAGCTCACACGTCTCAACCAGGGAGATCTCTTCCTCAAGTGTGTTCTGCACAATTTACAATCGGATTCCGGGGAGAAGTATCTCCAGGCTCGGTCTTCGCTTGATAGCTGGAGGCAACATGTTAATGCAAACAACCCTAGAATTGAAAACTGCCGTGCGGTTCTAGACAGTCTTGTTAAGTCTCTGAGCCTGCCTAAAGTCAAGAACTCGCCTAAAGGAAAGGTTCTGATGCGAGCTTTTTATGGTGTGAAAGTTCAAACGGTCTATATATGCAGTGTATTTACCGCTGCCTGGTCTGATTCCACCAAGGATCTTTTCGATTTACCTGTCTCTGAAAAACCATTGTGGGCAAAGGTCTTTACTGATATGCAGAGTGTTGTAAATGCTGAGATCAGACACATGTTGTCTTCCGGTAGAACCACGATTCTCAAAGAGCTGGAGAGCGTTGATGCTAGTGTCGAGAAGCTATACCCGATGATCCAAGATGGCGTTGATCCTGTCGAAGTTGAATGCTTCAAAGATTATGTTATGGAATTGGGGACACAAGCTGAGAAATTGTCTCAAGGGTTGGATCAGTTACTGGAGGAAGTTGATAGTTTCTTTAAACTGACTTTAAGCGGGCGCGATGTGTTACTCTGTAATCTTAGATCAAGTGACTCAATCTCTGGCAATGCAGTTGGAGAAGATGTAGAATAAAACAGTAAGGTGAACAAACAAGTTTAACCCCTACAAAAGGCAGCTTTAGGTCAATGAAAAGTGTTTCTCTTTTTGTTTGTTTGAGTCCATCTGCCGAGCATGTCTCTTCGGTTTTGTGTGTTGGTCTTGTCTGTATGACTGTATGAAATCAATTCTGCAATATAATATAAATATGTAATACATCTGTTTGGCTTGAAAAAATCACTGCTTTCTTTGTAATGATCCAATCTTTCTAAACCAATTTCAATCAAAGGAACAAGTCAGATCAGGAAGCATAATATAGGCTTTGATTTATAGATAAGTGCAATTAGTAGTAACAAATGAAAAATGCAATATAGCGAGTGACTCTGCTTCTTGTGACCATACACGTCTGTAATCTTTCATACTCTTTAGATTCACGGGTCACTTGAGAGATCTTTAACAGTTGAAAAAAGCTTCTCTCTTCACATGGATTTAGTGTCTTCAAGAGATGCTTTAGGAGATCCTTCAACTTCAACAAAAGCCCTTCTTCTTGGTCTCTCTCGTTCTCGGTCTGATCATTGCATCATCATGTCTGGAGAATCAAGCTCTGGTTCTACCGATCATTGCATCAAAGTTGTACCGACACATGGTGGCCGCTATGTTCAGTACAACGTTTATGGACAACTCTTTGAAGTTTCCCGAAAGTATGTCCCTCCTATTCGTCCCATTGGTAGAGGCGCTTGCGGTATTGTCTGGTAAGTTCTTTTGATTCTTTGTCTGATCAATGATCAAAGCGTTCCTTCTTTTGAATGTTCATAGGCTCTTGATTCTTGAATTTCAGTGCTGCGGTGAACTCAGTGACTGGAGAGAAAGTGGCTATTAAGAAGATCGGTAATGCTTTTGATAACATCATTGATGCTAAGAGAACTTTACGTGAAATTAAACTTCTCAGGCATATGGATCATGAGAACGTAAGCATTAAGCATCATTTCTCACTGTTGAAAACAACTTAAGTTTCTCAATTTTGCTAGATCTATCAAGTGTTCCTGATCTTCAGGGTCGAGGCAATACGAGGATTCCTCTTTATATAAGATTTCGATTAATCTAATCTGCAAGCCTTGGTTTGATTCTTTAGGTTATAACCATCAAAGATATTGTAAGACCTCCGCAACGAGATATCTTCAACGATGTCTACATTGTCTATGAGTTAATGGACACTGATCTTCAAAGAATCCTCCGTTCTAACCAAACACTGACCAGTGATCAATGCCGCGTAAGTCTCTGTGTTGTTGTAATCATTTGTAAAGTCATGGAACTCTCTGATCTGATCCGATTCTATTTACTTGCCTTCCTGTTACAGTTCCTAGTATACCAGCTCTTAAGAGGGCTCAAATACGTGCACTCGGCGAACATATTACATCGTGATCTAAGGCCAAGCAACGTGCTACTTAACTCGAAAAATGAGCTAAAGATTGGTGATTTTGGGCTTGCAAGAACAACTTCAGACACAGACTTCATGACTGAATATGTCGTTACCCGTTGGTACAGGGCTCCTGAGTTGCTTCTTAACTGCTCAGAGTACACCGCAGCTATTGATATTTGGTCTGTTGGTTGCATACTCGGCGAAATCATGACGGGACAGCCGTTGTTTCCAGGCAAAGATTATGTTCATCAGCTTAGGCTTATAACAGAGGTAAAACAGTAAAGTAAAAAGCATTAGTTTTCCACTTGTCTGAAAACTGCACTGCCCAATTCTGATTTCACTTAAAATCCATTTCTTGAAATTAGCTTGTAGGCTCTCCAGACAATTCCAGCCTGGGCTTCCTTCGCAGTGACAACGCAAGAAGGTATGTCAGGCAACTTCCGCGATACCCGAAACAGCAGTTTGCTGCTAGATTCCCGAAAATGCCCTCTACCGCTATCGATTTGCTGGAGAGAATGCTCGTCTTTGATCCTAACCGGCGCATCTCAGGTAACAAACAGCACGAAGATCCTTAAAACATTCATGTGGTTTTCGCAGTTGGCTTTTGGCTTATCAATTGGTTCTGGTTTGTTTATACCTGCATCTGTTGTGTGTGTAGTCGATGAAGCCCTTGGCCATGCTTACCTATCACCGCACCACGATGTGAGCAAAGAACCGGTTTGTTCGACTCCTTTCAGCTTTGATTTCGAGCATCCTTCTTGCACAGAAGAACACATAAAGGAGCTTATCTACAAGGAGTCTGTCAAATTCAATCCTGACCATTGAGAGAGAAACATGTTTGAATGATTTGATTCCTTTCTATAAGTCTGCTTTGTTTGATCTCAGATTCCTTTATATTGAATCTAAACTCATTTTATCTTGATTGAATAATTGCTATGATGATACACACATATTTATCTATATCTTAAGCCACTGCAGAGCTTAACTTTCTTTGAATCAAATTTCTTAGACCATTGATCATATATGATAGCATTTTTGTTTTTTCTGTTTACCAAAACAGAGTATTGTGTATTGTGTAAGCATAGTTCGTTTAGTAAAAGTATAGTTGTTGAACTTAACTAGTTTAATGCCAAATAAATTGGTCGAAAATCGAAACCAAGAAACTGATAAAAGCACAAAGATCATATTTTCCGAGACATTCACGAATTTCCTTCAAATACACACACTTATTATTGTGAGTTTAGCATTTATTCTTTCTTTCTGAATCTCCATGCATGTTTCCATATTATTTTTCTTATTCACTTTCCTTGTTTTTTGATTTATGAGTTACTAAAATATTATAATGTTACATCGTTTGCTTCATCTCTCTAAGAAACCCTAGCTTCTTTTCTTACTCCGCCGGGATGTCCCTCCGCCTCATCATCCTCGGGCTCTCTAAGTCTTCTCCTCTCTCTAATCGTAACCTCTGCTCCATCGCCGCGAGAAGAGACCGCCTCTCCTCGATGTACGAGAAAATTAAATGGGAAAATTCCCGCCGCCAAAGTAACAGCCACAAGACGTGTCTTCTTCTCTCAAATCCTCCTTACCCCATCCCAAAAAACAGAGAGCCCCAACGGCCGTTGCACAACAAGTCGAATCAACATTACGGTGAGAGCTATCTACACTCGACGGTCACGTTCTTGATCCACAATCTCTCGGACCTCGACACGGCGATGGAGTACGCACGCTTGACCGCTTTCACCAAAACTCGCGGCGCAACCACAACGGCCACCTGCGACCTTATAATCGCAGCCTTGTGCGAGGCCAAACGGTACAGAGACGCCTACGACCTCTTCCATTACTTTTTCAACGAATCCAACATCAAACTCAGCGTCCGTTGCTGCAATCACGTTGTTAAAGCTCTATGCGACGATGGTCGTGCCCACGAAGCTCTTCAACTCCATCACCACATGCGTAGCGACGGCAATGCCTCCTTGTGTCTTGATTATCAGACATACCGTATCTTGACCAAAGGTTTGTGGGATGCCGGGAAGATCGGTGAAGCTCTAGATTTGGTTAAAGATGTCTTCTCTTTGAGATTTGCAAAACCAGAGGATTACGACATTATGGTTTCTCATTTCTTGGATCATCAGCAAGATTTTGACAAAAGCTGGGCGCTTTGTTGTGCCGCTAACCTGGGAATGAGCGAGCTTAACAATGGCAACAACAGTTATCCAACGGTAACCGTGACCGCCATAACGGTGACTCTCATTGAGCATTGTTTCAGTCGACGGCAAGAGGAAACAGCAATGGAATTCTACACTGATTTGTTAGCAAAAAGACCCGTGATTGAAGATGCTTCCATTAAACCACTCTTGGAAGTTTTGTACAAGTAAGTTTTGTACAAGTACGGTCATTGTTCCATAACATGTTCGAGTTCCCTAGTGGTGTGGACGAGGATTCAGACCACTCAGAGCCTATAAATGCAATGATCAATGAGCTTTTCAAGCTCGGGATGTCTAAGGAAGCATTTGATTCATTCTTAAAAGTGAGATCAAAACAGAGATTCTTTATGAACAGATTCACGCATGTACCTTACGCCAACATCATCACGAGGTGTATCGAAGATGGGAACTTGTTGTCCAAGGCAGACATGATCTTTCGTGAATTACTCAAGGATAATCCATCGGCTTGCAAGATTTCAACATTCGAAGAAATGATCAATGCGTATCTAAAGGCCGGGAGGCTCCATGATGCATTGAAAACAGCAAACAAGATGGTGGATGCAAATCTAAGCCAAGTTTCTTCATTATTAAAGAGTTGATTGATTTTACTCTCTACTTCTTCATTTCAGCTTCTTGTTATTTTCAACATTACTTCATTTTCGAAAATGTGAGCTTGATGGTCTGACTTGGTTTCCACTCCAAGATAATAAAAATAAAGCATCTACGGCCACCAATGAATGGTCTGAGTCAACTTGGTTCTATTAAGCACGGCAATGTCATCGTTGACTAGTCATGGCTTCTTTAACAGAAGCGAGTTTATTTATAACACTCGATCGTCTAGTATCATCGTCTGGAAGAGTCGATGATGCCCTCAAAACCTCGAGAAAATTGGCTCTTTTGAACCTACGCAAGGTTTCTTTCTATCGCGATCCACTTTAAATCTATGATATCACTAATTTTCAACAGTTGACGTGTAAATAATACACATTTTATGTTGTTTAAAATAAGTTCCTATATGACTCTTGTCTCTGACCAACACGTTCTAAATTATTCATATAAACAGATAAAATATTAAACCGAATGTAAATATTCTATCTCGCCCAGAATCGTGTAGAAGCCACGCGCGGAGATTCTTCATTACCAAAATCCCCGATCATTTAACAACCGTTCGATCCGCGCGTGGAAACTACAACACTTACGTGGCGCGGGGGCAAACTGACGAAAAATTAAAGAGACGTAAGAAAGTCAGTATTTTTATAAAATAAAAAAAGTCAGTATTCAAAAATCAAGACGGCGAAAATTGAAAATTGAAAATTGTTTCCGAGTGATGATGCTCTCTCTTCTTCTTCTTCTTCTTCTACTCACAGTAAGAATTGAAAATTGAAAATAGTCTAAAACCCTTAATTCTCAGAAAAAGTTTCACCTACAATGGCTGAGATTTCGTTTCTGGTTTTAACAACTCTCGTCGTTTTTTCATGGGCTCTTTCGATCGGTAATTGTCTTCAAGATTCTGGGTTGGACAATTATGGAAGCTTTTTCACGGTCTCGAGCTTCAGGTACCCTGAATCCCAAGTCAGACCCTACGATACACGTTACATCAGAGGTCTGTTTAATCTGATCAGTTTCAGATTCAAGCTTTTTCAGCTGCTTTTTTTTTTTTTTTTGGGTTCTGAATGATGATTTGAAATTCAATAAATGGACTTGGATTTTTTATATCTGATCAATAAATAGCTCTTGGATTCTGATCATTTCAATAATCAGGATCTTATTTTTGGTTTATGCTCTCTGATTCTCTGTTTGATTCCGTACAGTTGATTTGCCTCCATGGTTCTCATCATTGAATGTTGCTATCGAATCTGATGTAGACATCGTGAGTATTACTACAGACTTCTCCTCCAAATTTGTATTGGTATTCAAAGGAAAATGTAAGTAAGTAATTGATTGTGTTTTTGGTAGACTGCAAAGAGCATTTCGAAGATTTCGAAAAGTCTTCTTCCTGTAATATGCTTCAGAGATGGTAGTCCTCCTCTGCCTGATGCCTCAACCAACGCTCTTGAAGGTTTAGGTGCGTTTTAGCTTCTTTGTCTGGTCAAAGAACCTTACTATTTTAGGGGATTAAGAAAGTGTTCTCTTGATGTTTTGTAGAGCTAGGACAATTCTTCAATGGATCTTTCCAAGGAGCTGAAGATATTGAGATTGCAGAACAGTGTTACCCTATGCAGAAGAACATATCCCTGAGATTGACCAATGAACAGGTTTTTACATTACTTCTTGTGTGTTAGGACTTTTTTAGATGATGAGTTTCTTTTTTAACGTTATTGTTTCCAGATATCACCGGGAGCTTGGTATATTGGTCTTTTTAACGGAATTGGGGCTACGAGGACTCAGGGGAAAATGGTATGGTTCTTTGTAACTCTTCTAAAATTGAAATAATTTCAGCCTTTATTGTTTGTTTGTTCTGAATTAGATCTCTAATACTTGGATACTGCACAGATTGTTCGCTCCTCTGCGTTTTCATTTAGTGCCAACATCAGTGTTGAAGGTTGTAAAACCGCTACAATGTGGGGGCCTTCCTGCAACCAGACTATTTATCCGCTTTCATGTTCTCGGTTCGATAACCAGACAGGAAGTGTTATTTCTTGCTCTGATTCTATTCCTAGTTCTTGTCTGACCCATGCTGAAACAAAGACATATGCTTTAGATGTAGATGGGATAGCTGAACAATTAGTTATTATGGCATCCAATGTCAAAGTAGATTCCAATGAAAGTTATCTCATGTGTTACGCCCGTTTTGGAGCCATTGCTTCAGAGACTCTGCATGATTACACTGGTGATATACATAAAGTTCCCTTAGTTGTTAACAAACCGAAAGCTGGTCGATGGTATATCGTTATTAGTTTATCTGGACGGGAGACTCGGTTTGTACAGGGCACTAATTCTGGTTCTAGGGTCTGCTTTTCAATTAATGTTAAAGTACTCGGATGTCCCGTAGGAAAAGCAGGACCAAATTGTGGGCAGCAAATCTACATGCTTCAGGTAAGTTGCTCTAAAAACTTGTGAGTATGTCAAAATCAAGATTGAGCTCTATAGTTATTAGAATTGTTGAACAAGATATATTTTATGCAGGCAGTTATGAGGAGGGGATGGTTGACACCTTTTGAATCATATTATTTTCCGGTCAATGACGCTTCACCTTCAGGCTCGAGCACAGTTTTCCCCCTCGAACCCATCGTCAGCAACTTTTCCTCTATTCCAGAATTAGACACAAGCACATGGACTTATTTTCTCATGAACATCCCTCAAGGAGGTTCTGGTGGGCATATCCATTTCAGATTAACATCAGACTCCACAATGCAATATGAAGTATATCTTAGAATTGGTGGATTGCCCACTATTGACGACTGGGATTATTATTATGTAAATCGAACAAGTGCCAGCCGCTCAATGTTCTTCTCATTGTATAATTCTAGCCAAGAAAAGGTTGATTTCTACATCTTGTATGCTCGAGAAGGAACATGGTCATTTGGTTTAAGGCAGCTCATTGACTCTAATACTCCTGCTGCTTCCAGAGGTCCACCTACTCTAGTATCTCTTTCTCTCGAAAGATGCCCGAGAAGGTGTTCGTCTTATGGGCAATGCCGATATGCTTTTGACGCTAGTGGATTGACATCTTACAGGTTTTTTTTCTACCTCGAGTCAACCAAAATTTGTAAACATGATGGAAAGTAGATTACCTTGAGATTAAATTCTTGTGTTGTGTTTCAGCTTTTGTTCTTGTGACAGAACCCACGGAGGCTTTGACTGCAGCATTGAAATTGTGTCACACCAAGGTATCTTAATCTATTAGTGTTTGAAACTTTGACAATTTTTCTGTGTACTCATGTGCGTAAAACCTGATGCAGAACATATTGTTCAGTCTATTGCTCTCATTGCATCAAATGCAGCGGCTCTTTTGCCAGCTTACTGGGCTCTTCGGCAGCGGGTAATTTCTTGGTTTAACACTTTAATCCGGTGCTCTTTGCTTTTTTCTTTTTTTCCATCTAAAAGCTGCTGATTCATGTCCTAAACAGGAGTATCCAGAGTGGGTTCTGTTCACATCCAGCGGAATCTCGAGCGCTCTGTATCATGCATGTGATGTAGGGACCTGGTGTGTTTTAAGTTACAATGTTTTACAGGTACGGGTAGTTGGTAGCTGCATCATTGTCATCTTCTATGTGAAATTATACTTAGTTACGAGATAGTCATTTTTTTGCTTCAGTTCATGGATTTCTGGCTCTCTTTCATGGCGGTGGTTGGTACCTTTGTGTACTTATCCACGGCTGGTGAAGCAGTTAAGAGGACAATACACACAGTTGTTGCCATTCTCACAGCTTTATTGGCCTTGACTCAAGCAACAAGGTATCTGAGATGTTTGACTCAATGGTAAATAGCACCTTGATACTATTTCTAAACCTTTACATTGGCTTGCTATCTATTTGCAGGGCGTCAAATATTATCATTGTGTTAGCAATCGGTTCACTCGGTCTCCTCATCGGATTTTTGGTAGAATTTGTTACCAAGTATCGATCATACTGCGGGTCGGCTGGATTTTCATTGAACATGCTCGACAGGTAAAATAAGGAAGCCATTCTGTTTCCTGACTTACGCAGCATTACCTACTGTGACAAAATCATTATTTATTTGAGTTCTGTCATATTCTTGTCGTAGGCCACGGGCAGTCAAAGAATGGTTTAGTAATTTGATCAAGACGCTCAAGAAACGGTTTCGTTGGGGCTTTGTGGCGGCTGGTCTTGTAGCCTTCACCATGGCAGCCATAAGTTTCAAAGTAGAAACCAGTTCGAGCTACTGGATTTGGCACAGGTTTGTGTATGTAAAGTTTATCAGATATGAATAATATCGATTCTATCACTTTTCTGAAGGTTGACTTATGAAAATTATGTGCAGTATTTGGCATTTCACAATCTACACATCTTCCTTCTTCTTCCTCTGTTCGAAGATTGCAATTGTAAATAACGAGAACCTAGCCCACAACGGAGCTGACAACTACGAGTTAACAAGGCAAGACTCGCTACCAAGAAACTAAGAAAAGCATAAAGAGAGAGGCTTTTACTGATTCTTTCTGTATCTTGTACTATATACCAACCAAAGAAGTTTTAGAACAGAACAAGACATGGTGATGGGTAAATATTCAGGTTTTTTCTCTCTCTTACTTAGATTGTTTCGATATGGCATCTGAACCTCACTGTCAACTTGTCTCTGTAATCATGTATGTTTATACGCTCATAGTGACATAAAAAGATCACTGGAGTTGTCCAGTTGCATCATTTATCTTAGGCCTAGGCAATGTAATGTTTTGGTACAATGAGAGGCTTTGGCGTTCTTGAACAATCTTTACTTACATAGCTTTTTAAGCTGACTAAAGATTGATGTGTTCATGGTTATAATTGCTAGATTGAGTATTCCCCTATAGCCAACTGCAACCTAGAGTTTTGGGATTGTAGCAGTTTCTCCTCTCTTTTTTACGCAGTAGAGCCGCTTGATTCCAATGGCCTTCGGAGGCGTAAGCGTTTGACATGATGGAGTAGTTCACAGGTTTGCTTGGTTCAATTTCAAGAAGCTTCTTTGCACCCCATTTCATGGATTCTATTTTCTCATGGATGTTACATGCTCCTGTGAAAGCTGCCAAAGCATGTGTGCTTGGTTCTGTGGGCATTGACTTTAACACATCAAAAGCCTCGTCGATGAAACCAGCTCGACCAAGAAGATCGATCAGACAAGTGTAGTGTTCTTCCTCTGGTTCTATCTTGTAAACCTCAGTCATTCGTTTGAAGCAACGAAGCCCTTCTTGAACTAATCCTCCATGGCTACAAGCAGACAAAACCTCTAAAAAAGTGATCTTGTCTGGTTGAAGTTTCTGCAGCATACTTTCAAATATTCGCAAGCTTTCTTCTGCGAATCCATGAGAAGCCAGAGCTCCTATCACTGAAGTCCATGAAACAAGATCAGGTTCTCGGATCGAATGAAAACATAAAAGTGCTTCAGATAAATTTCCAGTCCTGGAGTAAGAACTTATCAGAGAATTAGCCACCGACAAAAATTCTGCAGAGCCCTTTTTAGTAACCATCGCTTGCACTTGCTTAATCTCCCAAATTGCAGAGAATTTCGTGCAGGAACATAGAACACTTGCAAAGGTAAGTTCATCAGGTTGAAGATTTTCACGGAGCATTTGACCAAAAAGTCGCATAGCTTCTCTTCCTTCTCCATTTTGTCCAAAACCTACAATCATCGCGTTCCAAGACACTATATTTCTCACAACCATCGATTCAAAACATTTGTGAGCATCACTCATATGGTTACTCTTCGCATACATATTCACCAATGCAGTCGCCACAGGAATGTCGAATAAATATGACAGTTTGAAGACAATGGCATGAATCTGCTTCCCTTGTTTGATCCCGCATGCACTGAGAAGACTCGAGAGAGTGAAATCATCACCTGTGAATCCGTTTTTTTCAGAACTCATCAGCTTGAGTAAACCAAAAGCTTCATCAATCATACCGTTAAGAACATACGACGAAACTAAAGCGTTCCACAGCACTAAATCTCTAACCAAAACCGCCTCGAAAACTTGTCTTGCTTCACCAATGAGACCACATTTCCCATAGAAATCAACTAGACTAGTACTCAGAAAGCAATTCGATTCAAGACCTTGTTTCACTATCAGACTGTGTAATTGGTTACCAGCTTCCACATTGGTCGAATCAGTACACAACCGTATCAACCCGATGAACGACACATGGTCCAAAATCACCTCACTAAGAAGACTCCGGCTCAAATAACAAAAACCTAGATGAGCTCTGTGGTTGGTGTCACCGTCTCGGTGAATGACCCCGTGAATCAGTATGTTCCAAGTAACAATATTTCTCACAAGCATTTCGTCGAAGAGCTTATCTGCATCATCAAATTCTCTGATTTTCGTGTAAGCTTGCAAGAGCTTGTTTTGAAAAAACAGAGAATTGTAAGTCCCTTGTTTTACCATGAACCCATGTTTTTGTTTCACGTCAAAGAGATGATCCAAGCTAGCAGATAACTTCGATACAGAGGATATAGCTACAGGTGAAGAAGAAGAAGAAGGAAGGGTTCTAATGGTTCGCAAGGAAGATAAGTGGTTCTGATGGTTCGCAAGGAAGATCGGAATTGATCGGAGGAATGTAAAGCACATCTTTACAGGAAATGAAATTAGCGTGGCGGGAAAATTAGTTTTACATCACTTACACTCTATAAGAGGTGATGCAAATATCTTGCATTGGTTGAAAAAATATTTGCATCGATTTTCATAACTGATGTTTTTTTTATGTAAATTTTGCATTAGTTAATATAAGTGATATTAATATTTTCATTCTTTGTAAATAATTGATGTTAAAATTAGTATTTTAATTAAGTGATTTTAATATTTGTGTCATTTACAAAAATCGAATTAACTTTTTTACAGCTAATGCCAATTTGGCTTTAAAAAAAATATTTTCGTTCGTATAATATTTTATCCTCGTTCAGTTTTTTTTTTTATGATATACTTCAGAGCCACATAATTCAAATCAGTAATTTATACTTATTTCCACCAATGGAAAACTTATATTATGCATCCCTTAATAATAATAATGTGTGGGACTTGCAATAAATATGTCTATTGTAAGGTAGTTTTTTTTTTTTTTGGGACAAATTGTAAGGTAGTTAAGTAGATAAATCTGAATATTATATAGAGAGAGTTCTAGATCCACTTCCTCTCTTTGAAGCGATGTGGGACAAATCAACGCTGAGTTTTTTTTTTTGTGTCACAACTTACTAGTGTTTTTATTTTTATTTTGCTTTTGATACAATTTCAATCGATGTAAATTAAAATAAAATACCATCAGTTTTATGTAACTGATGTAAAAATAGTAAATAATTGCATCGATTCTAACAATCGAAGCGAAATTGCATAATTAGCATCATTTTTTAATTGATATAATTTTGTATCAAATTTTTAATTGATGTTAGTATAAAATATTAATTACATTGATTGTTTAAATGATATAAATCTATAATTTTGTTTCACTATTTTAAAAGTGATACAAACTGAGATAGATTTGTATCAATTTTATTGAATTGATGTAAATCAAATTATTATCAATTTTATTGAATTGATGTTTCAATTTAAGTATCGTGCTCAACCAGTGGTTGGTTAAATAATTAACCAGGGTTAAAACGTCATATGACAGCTAATATAAATTTGATGGTATGGGTCTCTCTCACTCTCATTTTCCAATGCGTCTTTATATATATAAACCGTCGTGCTGCTTCATTCAATAAACCCATTTTCTCTACATTTTCTAAATACCAGCAATTACAGAAAGAAGATTTATATAAAAAAATTAGTAGACAAAAAAGGTTAGTGATTCCGCAATATTATAATCTGATCCTATTCGTAAATTTTGTTTGCAAGTTTCGTATTTTCTTCACATTGTTTAGTAACCCTAATTTTGGGGGAAAATTAGTTATTCGATTTTTTGAGGAATAAGGGTCTGTATCTGTGGAAAATTTGATTTTTGACCCTAAACTTCTTCTTTGGGTCACCATCCATCGAAACCCAAACCTCGAAAGAGAGAGAGAGAAATGGCGGGCCAAGGGGAAGTGGGAAGCCGGTATAGGGTTTTGCCAAAGGGAAAAAATTTCCTTAGTTTTTCGATTTTTTGTGTTTCCCGCTAAAAAAAAACCTAATTCCGCCATGGAATCTCAGAGGTCTTAATCGTAAGTTCCTGGATTGTTTAGTTCCTGGATCTTCTTGGGGATTTCATTTGTTTCTCTTACTCGTCGTTGAAGATTCCTGGGTTTTTCGTTTCTCTTTAGATTATTTGGGGTTTGTTCTTGTGGTTCCAGAGATAACGAGAAATGGGATCTGTTAATTGTTGTAGGGTTCGTTGTTCGTTGTTAATGGCGGGTTGGTCGATGGTAGCAGACGAGGATGCCGTCGATCCTAGTAAAACTCCGAAGAATCTCGACGCGAATAGGTCTCCTGAAAGCGTAAACCCAGAATCTACAAGGTCTGGGTTTGAAAAGAAGATTAAAGAACTCATCTCCTTGTTCCGACCTTTGCTTGATTCTTTTCTCGCTGAGTTTTGCTCGGCGGATAGTTTTCGACCTCTTCCTGCCATGACCGGCGACGGGAAAATTGTTGATTTGTTCAGTCTTTTTTTGAACGTGAGTCACAAAGGCGGATTTGATGCAGTTTCTGAAAATGGGTCATGGGATGAAGTTGCTCAAGAGTCTGGATTAGAGTCTCATAACTCTGCATCTGCCAAATTGATCTATGTTAAGTATCTTGATGCACTTGCTCGGTGGTTGAACAGAGTTATTGCAGGAGATACTGATGTTAGTAGCGTGGAGTTGTCTGGAATCTCTGATGCTTTGGTGGCTAGACTGCAAGTTTTTTTATCTGAAGTGAAAAAGAAGTATGAGCTGAGGAAAGGTAGACCTGCAAAGGAGTTAGGAGCAGAGCTTAAATGGTTTATATCGAAAACAAAGAGAAGATATGATAAGTACCATGTTGGCAAAGAGTCTGGTTCCAATGATGCTGTGATAGGCATTCAGGGATCAAAATTGACGGACAAGAGAATGGAGCAGATAATGATCCTTGAATCGGGTAATCAGAAATGCTCTTCGCCTGGGAAGAGAAAACGAGAATGTCCTTTAGAAACATTGAAATGGTTAAGCGAGGTTGCTAAGGATCCATGTCACCCATCTGTTGGCCGTGTGCCAGATAGATCAAAGTGGGTATCTTATGGAAGTGAAGAGCCATGGAAACAACTTCTTCTGTTTAGGGCCTCAAGAACAAACAATGATTCAGCTTGTGAAAAGACTTGGCAGGTGGGTATATAGGTACAGTTATTCAATGATCTGCATTTGCCTGTATGACAAGCCTATAAGATGTAAATGCACCAACTTTCCTGCTATAGCGATTCGAAATTTGTTATTGATGTAAACTGTGGAGACGTGAACTTTTGCCTGTAGGATCATGAATTGCATGTGTCATTAAAGCATTCTAAGGAGTTACTAATAGCAACTTCGAAAATTCTGCATCAGATTTTAGCATAAGAAACTTGATTCTTTATAATGTCCTCTTCCCTGTATCCAACAATGAACATTCTCTATGCTATCTCACTGTACAGAGACTGTGAACCCTGTGATTGAAATAGAATCTAATTAGTCTGATGGTGATTGTTTGTCTGTGCTCTCTTATTTAACTACTGTTCTTCCAAGTTTATGCCTTCCAAGTCTTGATAATATGCTCATGTGTTTCAGAAACTTCAGAAGATGCACCCATGCCTGTATGATGATAGTGCTGGACCTAGTTACAATCTAAGAGAGAGACTGAGTTACGACGATTACAAGAGGGGAAAGACATCTTCTGGGAATGGCTCGGATTCAGGCAGTTCAGATGAGGAGGATAGACCATGTGCTCTAGTTGGGTCAGAGTTTCAAGCTGAAGTACCCGAGTGGACTGACATAACCCCTGAAAGTGATACAAAGTGGTTGGGCACTCGAATCTGGCCACTGACCAAAGAACAAACCAACCGTAATCTTCTTATCGAAAGAGATCGTATTGGAAAAGGAAGACAAGATCCTTGTGGCTGCCATAGTCCAGGATCTACTGAATGTGTCAAGTTTCATATCACTGCAAAACAGGATAAACTGAAACTTGAACTTGGTCCAGCTTTCTACATGTGGTGTTTTGATGTCATGGGTGAAGGTACTCTTCACTATTGGACAGACTTAGAACTGAAGAAGATAAAGTCTTTGATGAGTTCTCCACCGTCACTTAGCCCAGCCTTCTTCGATCAGGCCAAGATGATTCTTTCTTCAAAGGGCAGGGGAAAAATTGTGAGCTACTTCTACAACGTGACCCTTTTGCAGTATAGGGCAAATCAGAGTAGAATCACACCTCATGATATAGACAGTGATACTGATCAGTTATTCATCCGTGCAACACAGAATGAAAATCCAGCCCCTGAAGCAAACACATCCCAGAAACCCGCCCTACTTTCGCCTAAGAAAAAAAGATGTCGGTAGAGCCTTTATGAATCACCCTGTTGAGATTCAAGTTGGAGCAGCTCTTTTTGTTTTCTTTCCACCTCATTTTTGGGGCTTATATTGCCATTGGAACCGCTTTAATCTCTGTGGGGGGAAAAGGCTTCATCATTGCATCGTCTTAGCAAATTCCGGTTTTAGTTTTGAGGTATATACTTCCATCTCTTCCTTGATGATTCTACAGTAGTATTTCTTTTTGTTGGCATTGCTTGAAAGGCTTTGCGGAAACTGATGAATCAGAGAGAAGATTTCTTCTAGTACAGTGAGAGAAATTTGGATTAGTTTGGTGAATATAACAAAGGCAAAATGTAATTGCTATATGGTGTTATTTTTTGTTTCTCTCTTGCTATTATTACTTAAGTTTCATGAATTCGATTATAACTTCTCATCACTTGATAAATTAAAACCTTTACACGAGCAAAGTTATAAGGCAGATGTTATCATATAAACTCAAAGAGCGGTAGCTTATTCAGTTGTTATAACACTGTACTATACTCCCTCCGTTTTCGAATAAATGTCGTTTTAACTATATGCACACAAATTAAGAAACTATTAATGTTGTTAGTTTTTTAATATAAAAATATCATTAATTAACTACCTAAACATAATTTAATCAATAGTAAATCAAGTTGCATAATAAAAATAAATATAAAAAATAAAAAAATAATAAATTTTGTATCGAAAACTGAAAACGATAACTAATTAAAAACAAAAAAATTTCTCTAAAACGACAACTATTCGAAAACGGAGGGAGTATGATTTTGCTATTTTTACTTTTAGAAGCTTAAACCATTATCAAATAAATGATATTTTCAATCATGTAATGATTTTTTGAATAAACGTAAGGATTTATAAATAAATAAATTAAGTTATTAGTTACAACATTGTACTGTATATTGTAATTTTCTTAAGGAATTCTAAAACCTTAAAATTAGTAAAGCAATTAAATTTAGAGATACTAATTAGTTCATATTGTAACTTAGAGAATACAATTGTTTTAAACCCACAAAACTCACATTTTCTTTATCATAGTTTTGTGGGTAAAAAAACCCCACAAAACTATGATAAAGAAAATGTGGCTAGTTTAATATTATTGTGTGAGATATTGAAAAAAGGACTAAAAAATTGTCATGAGTTGGGCCAATTGTTCACTAGCTGGCCCATAAGGGAACCCAAGAAAAATCCAGATCGTCATAGTTATCCCACGCGCATCTAAATCGCGTTCTTGTAACGCGCCCGTTTTTTGCAGTCTAACCCCTACGAAAAGTGGTCGAAATCGTCTGAATCCAATAATTTGGAGTCCCAGGGCGCGTGAGCTAATATTCTCATTTCATTTTTTCTGTTTTGTGGTTTTATTTTTTCTTGCCATGATATATCTCTTAAACGATATTTCCCGCTTTGTGCATGCCTAATTAGTAATTACTATTTTAAAACTTTTAATTTAATTTTCTTTTCACTCAAATTTTCTCTAAATTACTGATCATTATTTTCTTTGTTGCAGCCCAAAATTTTATCTACTGAAATTATTAATGATATTCTATAATGCTAAGCCGTGTACTTCAACAAAAAAAAAAAAATGCTAAACCGTGTATGTTAAGAGATTGGAGTGATGATAGGGTTAATGCATGTGTGGACACGTTACTAATTTTCATTATAAAAAAAAACATGTAATTTGTTGTCCACACGTCTACTACAGTCGTAACTCCGTAAGTTCATGGCTCACGTTTCTTTTAAAACAATTCATCTTTTGGTTATAAAATACTACGGAGAAATGATAATTGTAGGTTAAGTCCCAACCCCACCATCCATTTTCCTTAGAAAATCATCCGTTGTATTGTAATAAATAATCGATGTCAAATCTTGATTAATTGTAATAAACAAGCTGTCCCCATAACACACGTATAAGGAGGAATGTATTGAAACTGAATAGTATATATGATCGGTCTAATGTATGTAGTTAAAACTTAGCATCTAATATTCTTTACCAAACATAAACACACTAGTATACAAAAAATAACCAAAGAAGCAAAAAAATATCAAAAAGGGCCTATATGTTATTTTAGTGTACTAGTGTGTTTATGTTTGGATTTGAATATGACAACAAGAAAGAAGAAAATGAAATATTATTTTGCAGCCTGTTGTGATATATAATTAGTTAGCTAAATCTTCTTTTACATAGACTTATATTGAAAAATATAATATGTGTCCATTTTGATTAAAAGAGTAACTACTGTATCTGGAAATAATAATAAAAAGCTAAAAAGATTAACAAAAAGAAAAGAAAAAGATAAAGCAATGAATGAAAAACAAAGGCAAAAGGGTAAATTTGGAAAAAGGGATAAATGGTAGTAAGGCAAATGTCCATTTCATTGATCTTTTCTTTTCTTATATCTTCATTTTAGAATCTTTTCTCTATCTCTCTCTCTCTCTCTAAAACCAGATTCTTGATAGAAGAAGAAGAGGAACGGAGAATCTGCCATGGCTTCGCCGAGCAAACGTCGAGAGATGGATATGATGAAATTGTGGGTTAATTTTCCAGTTGATTGAATTATCTGTAGATTTTTATTCTGGGTTTTTCTTCTTTTTTTGATCTGTTGATGAAATTTCTTCTTCTTCTTCTTCTTATTGATATATAATTGATTTGGTCTGTGAATTTGATAGGATGATGAGTGATTACAAGGTGGATACAATCAACGACGATTTGCAAATGTTCTATGTCACATTCCATGGACCCACTGACAGTAATTCTCTCTTTCATTTTGCCTCTTTTGTTTTTGCTTATAAACTACTTGTTGAAATGCCTCAATGAATCGAAACGAGTCTTTGTTTGATTTGTTCTTCAAACTCAACTTCATATTCATCAATGATAGGGAACTAGACTTGGATCACATGATTGCCATACTTGAATTTGGATTATTTATAGGATTGTCATAGAAGCAAATGATGAATGAATCTTTGATACAAAACCAAGTTAAGTGCCTGTTTTGTCTTCAAGGTCTTTATCAGGGAGGTGTATGGAAGATTAAAGTCGAACTTCCCGAAGCTTATCCATACAAATCACCATCTGTAGGATTTGTTAACAAGATTTATCACCCTAATGTCGATGAATCGTAAGTGAAAACTATCCACATTTTCCATTGTTTAGTGTTTTGCATACTCTTAAACTCTGGTTTTGCGTTTGTGGCAGTTCTGGTGCAGTTTGCTTAGATGTTATAAACCAGACATGGAGCCCAATGTTTGGTAATTCACTAGTTTTTCTCTTCTTTTTTTAATGCCTGATTGTGTTTGCATCCATCAAATTTCTGCTTGTTTTGCAGATCTTATAAACGTTTTCGAGTCCTTCCTTCCGCAACTGCTTCTGTATCCAAACCCATCAGATCCATTTAATGGAGAAGCTGCTTCGCTGTTGATGCGAGACCGCGCTGCCTATGAGCTGAAAGTGAAAGGTAAAGTCACTCTCTTCTTCCCATTTTTTGCTTCTCTGTTCAATCTCTCATTGACACTACAATTTTTCACCTTTGAAGAATATTGTGAGAAATATGCAAAACCCGAGAAGGAGAATTTAAGTGATGATGATGAGGATGACGACGACGATAGCATGAGCGAAGATGGCTCGGATTCTGATGATGATGACGATGAAATCGTTGGAAAAGCCGACCCATGACTGTTACAAATCAATCTTTCTTTGCACTTTCATTAGTCCATCTTCAAATTTAAACCATTAATGCTCATTGCAAAGAGGAGAGAAACTTTCCTCTGTAAATTTGTAAAGACTTGTTATTCTTTAGGCCTATTGAAATTTCTTTTTAAAACAGTAGATAAAATGTAACAATTTGTAATCTCACATTAATGGAAACATGAATCCATATCTCATTGTTTGTTTTATCCTCCAAATATTTTTGTACATAACCATATCTGAAGATGGATATCGCAGACAAAAGGACATTACTCTAAAGTTTACTATAAAATTTCGGTATTACGATCCATACCAAGAAAAAGGAACCATAGACCTACAGAATTATTTGATTACTAAGGTCAAAGATTCACTTCTAAATTGCTTACAATGCCACATTGAATATAAGCAAAAGAGGCTTAATCCTCTCAGGAACCAAGAAGGGTCCCTCTATAAATGGCTAGGCCGTCTTTTACCAGAATCTGTCCTTAACCTCTTCACCGGATTTGCCCATCCCACGGAATCACCAGCCGCACCGCTGTTGTTTGGATGAGTGGGTTGGTTTGGCCAGCGCTGCTGTTGTGCTAGCCTTGTTTCCTTTGGAACTCCACCAGACACAGGACTTCTAAGACCACGACCAATCATAGCTGGAGGTGGTGAAACTGGGCTGCTGGAGCCACCAGTTCGGGTTTTCGGAGCAGACTTCTCTCGGTCTTTCCTCTTCTTCTTGCAGATTACTAATTCCCCTGGATGAGCTAAAATTGGGGATTCATCAGTGTGGCTTGTTGTTCCCCCAAGCTTTGTTTCTTTCTGCGGTATCTGTACTCTGATCCTAGAGTTCTCACGTTGTTGAGGTCTCTGAGGAGAGCTTGGCTCGGGTTCCGCCTCGTTTACTAACTTTTGCCTCTTGCCTTGGCTAATGCCTGCTCCTCTTGGGGATGGTGTAGACACCAAAGTTGGGGTTGGGCCAGAAAAAGAAAGAGCATTCCTTGCTTCCCGGAAATCTGTGTCTGGGAAAGACATCTTTAATAGATCAAAGAACAGATTGTGAACCTTCCTTGCTTCAGATCTCACCTGCGGAAAATTTTGATCACCTTTAAACCCATTTGGCTTGTACATCAAACAGCAAAAGGAATTCACTTTTATTTACAATGCAAAAAATCAAACCTCATGTGAAGATCCATAAAATTGCATTGCTCCCCTTAGCATTAACTGCACGTCAGATGCGAGTTCCATAACTCCTGCGTACTCTAGTCTTTCTACACGGTGGTCTATCTCTCGTAGTTCCAAAAGGTTATTTACACCTCCAGCTGCATAACCATTCTGAATTCTCTTCCACAAATTTGTCAGCATAGGTACAATCTGCTGACCTTCCTTGTCAATTCTCCTTTGGAGCTTGCTAATCACATTTTTGCACTGCAAAGTCCAGGGCCGAATAAGTTCAGACTAACAAAACAAAACAGATGCACCAAAAATATCAACCATATAAGAGAATACTGCGATGAAGTAAATTCCATTTAATAGAGCTTACCCGTTTCTGTATGATGTGGGACATTCTTGCACCAGCATTTGAAGAGCCAATAGGACTAGTTCCATCCCACGTTTCTCGGGAAGCTTCAGTGTTATCCTCCACGGTAAGCTGTGTGGCATTCAATCTACCAGATTTTGGTGATGATACATGGAGTTTGGAAGTACTAGCTACCTTCTTTGCAGGTAAACTCCTTAGTCTAGAGGACGAATCACTCTGATCTTGTCTTGAACCATGCGAGTCAACAACTGTCCTTAACTTTGATCGGTAGCTACGATCAACTTGTAATGGCTGAGCTGCAGGCATCTCGCTACCGTCAACTCTTTCTACCGTTTGACGGGGTCTTAGACGAATACTCCGTTTCCGTTTTATCGTAGGTTGCAAAACCTGTTCTTCATCCCCTTCATCACGGTCATGGGCCCAACTTCCTGATCGTTGGAGATCGACGTGAGAATCCCCTGATGCTGCTATTTCCCCATCTTCTAGGTCATCCAGCTATACAACATAATGAACAAAGCAAATATTACACAAACAACAAAGAAGAAGATAGACATGCAAGATAGATCAGGTACCTACCAGTCTTTTTGAGACAGAACCTGGCCTAGTGTCCAATGCAGACAAAGAGCCAAACTTTTGGGAAGAAACAGGAGATGCCATCTCTTTCGATCTATGGCTCTCTGGAGAAGATCCTGAAGAACCGACATCATCACGAGGAGGAATTTTTTTATAACTACCAGAACCCGGAGGATAATCATAACCACAGACGGGGTTCTCTCCATCAGATTCTCCCTTGTTGGTTTGGTGATCTCCAAGAGCGACTGTAAGTTCATCATCATCAAATTGTCGAATGTCTCCCTCTTCTTCATTCCCAGAATCAATGTTCCTTTCCTCAGAGCTTTCCTCAGAGTAACCTGCAATGTCATCTTCAATTTCCTTGTAGTTAATCTTTTTGCTCTTGGGCCGCCCCCTTTTTCTCTCACCTCCCGGTCCACCAGGTTGCACAATCAGATTACTGCTAGACAACATGTTCTTTGAAGGTTTCTTAGACAAATCAGCAACAGTAGCATTCACCTCTCTGGTACTAGCTCGAAGCCACTTAGGCACCTGCTCATGATTAGTCATCTCCTCCGTCCAGTCAAATTCTTCATCCATCTGATCAAATAACTCAACTTCCTCTTCGCTTCTGGCAATCATCCTGTTCACCTCATGCAGGGAAGGTACATCATGGACAGTTTCTTGATATCTCTCTTCGTCATGCAATAAAGTCTCCAATGTCATTCGTCGCTCTTCATGAGTTGTCCTTTGGTCAAAACGCCCAGCATTAATGACCTCATCAGCCATGTCAATCTTATACTGTTGAATATTATTCCTTATGAGACCCTCTATAGATCCTATATATCGGTCCTTCCCAGCCATGTCATCCTCTAGGTCTATTGAACCACCACTTCTAAGCTCGTCCTCCTTTTGATGGCTGGAGATTTTTTCAACAACTGCCTCCATATAAATCACTTTTACTTCCCTTGTCTGGCCTATACGATGGGCTCTGGCAACTGCTTGTTCCTCATTCTTGGGATTTGGATCCGGATCATATATCACAACTGTGTCAGCAGTCTGAAGGTTGAGACCCCGTCCAGCTGCACGTATACTAAGCAAGAAGATAAAGCAATCCGTATCAGGATCATTGAAGTCCACAATAGCTGATTCCCGATCTTCTAGGCTGGTAGTCCCATCTATTCTTCTGTATACAAGCCTTCTCCATTGTAGATACTCTTCCAAGATATCAAGAAGTTTAGTCATTGTACTGAAGAGCAATACACGATGGCCTGTCCTCTGTAGCTTTATAAGGATCCTGTCCAGAATCCACAATTTTCCACAAGACCTTACGAGAAAATCTTTGGAAAAGTCGTTGAAATATGGATAGTTGAGCAAAGGATGATTGCAGGCTTTCCTCAACTCCATGCACCTATTATTTAAAGTTCTATATATCTTGGCTTGGTATATTGGATTCTTCTGGGCCCTAAGTTTTTCATCGTCTGGATCAACTCTAAGAGTTCCAGTCGCTTTAATCCAATCATAAACGGCACTCTGAATAGCAGACATTCTACACCTTAAAACTACAGAAACCTGCAACCAAAAAGCATAATCAGAAGAATCATCTAGACGGAAAATAACAGCAAAGATATAAGATAGATCCTACCTTAGCAGGAAGTGATCCTTCCACATCCTCAACACGGCGTCTGAGCATGAATGGCTCTAAAATTTGATGAAGTCTGTGAATGACTATAACCTTTTTTTCAGTCTCCAGCCAGTCATCCTCTATATTATGCGCAGGACCTTCTTTTTGAAAGGGCTGCGCAAACCAATCATGAAATGCTTTTCGATTGTCAAAGACATCAGGAAGGAGAAGGTTCAATAGTGACCAAAGCTCTTTCAGATCGTTCTGCAAGATTTAATAAAAGCAGGATAAGAATAGTCACATAATATGAACAGCTTAGAGAATCTTGGTTTCCATTTGTTATGTGTCCCTGATTTATGCCCAAGTAGCTATACTGTTACCAACCTGCAAAGGTGTTCCAGTGAGAAGTAATCTCCTCTGGCAGCGATACCGGTCAAGATCTCGGGCCAAAACAGATTCTCTGTCCTTCATCCGTTGTGCTTCATCAATTATAATATATTTCCAGTCAACTTTTGAGAGTTTTGATCGATCATACATAATGAACTCATAAGTCGTAACGAGGACATTGAACTTCATGGCGCAAACCTCCTGTTAAAGAGAACAGGGGATGTATCAATCAACAATTTCAAAACATCTGGAGCAAAAGCAACTTTTTCAAAATTTTACCTGAGAGAACAATTTTGAACGTTGATCCTTTGTACCAACATAATATATGCATGAAACAGATGGCAGCCAAGTATGGAGTTCACTCTGCAGAAGGAAACCCGTTAGACTTTAATCAGTTACCAAAGAGAATCGACAAAAGGTAGCAAAAAAACTGATACGTATTCTAAAGAACACAGAAGAGTTCATCAACAGGATATGGCCATGTCAGCGCAACTAACAGCTAGTTAGCTAGAGTCAAAGTTAATCTTAGATAATGGATATAAGAGGCTTGTGGGTTATTGCGGAACTGAGTTAGATAGTTATGAGTTGGGAGACTTGGGGTCTCAAATACTCCCTTGGTTCTAAGCAGCTGCATTGATTCTGTGGAAAATCATAGGAGTCTATCAGAAACACAAACCTTCCAATTCACCAGAACAGCATTGGGAACAATGATGAGATGCGGTCCATAATTCCCCTTAAACTCCATAAGGTAAGCAATCAGTGCCATTACCTGTACAGCAAAGACCGGAAACAATAAGCATATTATGGCGAAAGTACAGTAAATCCAGGAATCCCTGAAAATCGAGATCATTAACCTGCACAGTTTTTCCAAGACCCATCTCATCAGCCAATATCCCATTTAATTTGTTATTATACAACGATAGCATCCATTGTAATCCAACCTGAATGGCACAGAGCAGAAAACCTTAGAAACCATCAAAACGTGGCATGACAGTGAAAAAAAATTCAAATTGCAACGACATAGAGTCTAGATGGAGGAGATACCAGCTGGTAATCACGCAAAGTTCCAGCCTGAAGCATTGAAGGTTGTCTTATAACCACTTCATTTACAGCATGAGCCA